CTGGCTGCCCCTCTCTCTGACCCCATCTCTCAGTTCCCCCTTTCTGCTGCCAGCTCCCCCAACTCTTCCCTCTGACTCCTCTGTGTCCTCCTGCCCCCAGCCCCTGCTGCCAGGCAGTCCCTTCCTCTTCTTTCATACCCATCACTGCCTCCCTGCTCGGCTGGCCCCTCCATCCCCGCAGCAGTGAGAAGCCTTAATTTCTGGTACTGTGTGAGCACTCTGGGGGTGTCCCCCTCCCCCTTCAGGGGCAGCTAGTGGACGAGGGGGGAGGGTAATTAGCACTGGGGCCTGGAGCTTCCCCCCCCCTTCTGCACCCCATCACCCCTGAAGTTCAAATGCAGAACACTTGAAGCAGCAACTACTGTACCTGGGCCCCCATCCTGCACTCCCCGGCTCCTCATATGCAAATCAAGGGCTGGTTCTGCCCCCACAGCCTGCCCCTCCCTGCCCCCCTTCCCTCCTGGCCTGGCCCCCTAACCACGCACTTTAACCCTGCTTCTTTGTTTTAACTTTTTTTGGGAGGGCAGAGCCTGCGGCCATTCCCTCCCTGGCTCTCCTCTCCCTTAACTTTGAGGCTTGTCATGAATTTTTAAGTAAGCATTTTATCCTTTAGGGGAAGAAACAAATTAATTTCCTGCTCATTTCAAAACCACAGTCCTAGTGTGTCCTGTGTGTTTCAGGCATGTGTTTGCATGTGTGGGGAGGGAGGGACTGTGTTCTTCCTCCTGTGCCCCCCCAACCCTAGAGTCCTCTGTGCCCCCTGTCTGCCGCCCCCTTCTGTCATGTCCAAGAGTACCCACTGCCCCCAGTCACTCCTGATCTGAAGCCAAAGATGGTGGGAGGGGCAGGGCAGACTGGGGACCATGGCTACTCGGGACGTGAGGATGAAGCTCTGATCTAGGGAGCAACGAAAAGATCCTGAGGCTTGGTCCCTGCCCTCCCAGCAGAGGGAGAGATGGGATTGAGCTAGGGGCTGCACTGAGAAGATTCCTCACAGTCGCACCCCAAAAGCCAAACTGGGCCAGAGTGACGAGGGGGCAGTTTTCTCTCTACATGTAGCATTGAATTTGGCCCTGGTCCCTTGAAACGCCCTGTCCATCCATCTCCCAGCTAAGCCTCCTGGACAGTTGGACCCGCTCCCATAGCCCAGTGTTCCCTTCCTCACACTCAATACCTCAGCCAGGGGCCAAGACACAGAACTTGAATAGAGGTCATGCCCCCTCCGCCCCACAGTGCATCCTTGCCCAGTTTGGCTGCCATCAGTATTGTCCCCTGAGAACTGGACAGGCTTAGTTTACACAGTACAGGGTCTCCCCCCAGGGGTCCCTCAGTCTCCTTCCCCGACCCACGCTTGCTTTATTCATAATCTTACCCACTTTTCAGTTGCGTTCCCTGCAAGTCCTGCCACCCTTGCCAAGGGCGGGCTGAGGGGAGAGGGGGCATCCCAGGGACCCCAGCCTCCCGATCAGACGCCCTTAATCATACCTCATGCTGGTTCCCTGAAGCCTGGGGTGTTTGTCCAAGTCCTTATTCTGTTTGTCACAGTCCCTTTTTATCCTCTCTCTCTCTGTCTTGCTCCCCCCTCGCCCCCCAGTTCCTAAACCATTTCAAAGTTTCCAAATGACCATTATTGGTGAGAAGGATTGTGCAGCTTTTAGTTTTTATTATTGTTTTCAAAGCCAAAGGGCCTTGTGACGCCCCTCTTGCCCACCTCCCTTCGCACCCTGTCCTCCCCTATACGACAATCAATGTGACCTCTCTTAAGGGCTGCAGCCCCCCACCCCCAACCCTGCTGGTTCCGCAAAGCTTGCTCCCTAACTTCAGTTCTCTCTCCTGAAATCTTCCCATTGCAGCCCCTCCCTCTCATTTTGGTGCTGGGAATTAGGTGGTGGGGGACAGGGGGAGCAGGGAGATGTGTCCTCTGGAGAGGACTCGGGTTTCAGTCGTGTTCTCCTTTATCAATGTTTGGCGATGACAGGAAGAATCTATTTGTCGGGAGCCCCGTTGTTCTGCTAGATGAGATTTCTGGTGGCTGCCCATTCCCTGCTGTCCGCACCTTCAGCACACCGTCAGCAGTGCTGGGGCAGGTTGTGGGGAGTCCTCTGTCCCTCCTCATGTGGCTGTGAGGAGGCCTGGAGGACAAGCAGCCTCCTCTCCTTATGCCAAAGGAAATCCCACACCCCATCCCGGGCTCCCCAGCCCCTAGTGTTTTTTGAAGCATTTTGACCATTCTCATGGCCTCTGCATATTTATTTTAATGTTAAGATTTTTTTTAAAACCTCTTTGACTTAAACGGGTGTGGAGAAGTAAAACAGGCAGAATGCCCCCCAATCTTAAGGGGGTAGGGTGGGGAGGGAACGTTTCCTTCCCTTCGCCCTCCCTCTTCCCCTCCCCCTCTCCCCACTGCAGCTCTAAAGCACTTGCTTCAAGTAATAAGCACTTTTGAGAAAGGGCCTATTTTAAGTGAGGACCCTGGGAGCAGCCCCAGGTCCCAGCAAAGGAGATAGAGCGAGGGCTACATTGGAGACAGGGAAACAGACGTGTGAATCGGCGGGCGAGATGAAAAGAGCCAGTTTTTAGTTTCTGATTTTCGGGGAGATGTTTCTGATTGGGCGGTGGCTTTGGGAGGGTTGTGAACTATCCTTCAGAAAAACAAATGGCACAAACTGTGGGTCCCAGGATGGACCAACAGACCCGGGTCACTGCCACTGTCCAACTGAGACTGACGGGCCGCCTCCCCCCGTGTGGCCCCCTGAGCCATAGGACTGCTGAAACCACTGAATGTACAGCCCGGGCTGGGGTGGGGAGCAGCCCCTGGGGGAGGGGGCTTCTCTGTTGTTTGGTGCTGTGGGGGGTGGGAGAGATGAGACTGAGGGACGCTACCCCACTTAGACATGTGTTCCTTGGGGTGGAGGGGCTGAGGGGGCCTGCCTCCCTCTCCAGCCCCGGCCATGGCCCCTCCTCCTTCTTCATCCCTATCCGTTTTGACTGTAAGTCCAGCTCACCTTTGCCTTCAATATGTAACCAAAGGAAAACTCAATACTGTTTCCACCGCTGTCTGCCCACCCGAGCACCTTCTGACTCCCTGGACCTAGATGGGGAGAAGAGGCTGGGGGTGGGGGGTGGCGTGGGGCCAGAGTGAACGGTTCTACAGCTGTACCCCCAAAACCTTCTCTGGGGTCTTGGAAGGGCCCTGAGAGGCAGGGTTGGGGCCAGGCTGGAGGGGCTGGACAGACACACTCTGTGACTTGTGCACATGAGTGTTTCTTCGTCTGAATGACTCCAGTGACTTTGCTCCAGCAGGAAGCCCCTTCCTCTTCCCCTCTCCGGCATTTCTCACCCTCTCCCCACACCCAGTGTTCATCCCCCGCCTCCCCTTCCCACCGCAAAGGAAAATAGCCTTACAGACCCTAGCCCAGAAACCCTCCTCCTGGGGCAACCAGTATGGGGCCCCATCCCGCCTAGTTTGAACCCTACCTTTTAAGAAGGAGGGCCCCTTCCCCTCTGATCGTGGTGGCTCCAGCCCTCCACGGCCTTGACCCAGGTTGGGCAAGGGTGGAGGTGAGGAATCTTTGAGGACCAAGCCCAGTGGTCTGGGAAGAGGGAGGTAGAGAGGGCAGGATCTGACTTGGGGACTCCCTCCTCCTGACCCAACCCCTAGAGAAGCGACCAAATCCCAGAGATGGGAGGAAGCTGGGGTGGGGAGGGTCTGCTCTGTGAATTACTTGAAGGTACTGATTCTGAGGCTGCTGTTGCCCACTTAGGTGTGAGGGGGACACTGTCGCTGCATCTGGGAGGGCAGAGGGCGGCGGGTGACGAGAGGATCCGCCCCTGGCCCTTGCTCATTCCCGCTAGGCCCTTTCCCTGGGGAGCCTGGCTTTGCCCCCTGGGAAGTTGGGAGAGCCTTCCCCTCCCATCTCCCCCCCACTCTGGGCACCCTCTCCAATTGCACTAAAGTAGCTGTTGTGCCAGTCTGACCCCACGCCAGGGTGGGGTCTCTGCTTCCAGTCCTTTCTCCCCCTACTGCCTCTGCTCCCATCCCGGACAATCTCCTTGTCCCCTGTATTCCTGGATAGCTCAGCTTTGTATGTGTGTGTTTGGGGGTGGGGTGGGTTCTGGCTGGAGTGGGTTTGGGAGGGGTTTGGGAAGGGCTGGGGGAGAGACGGAGGATGCAGTCTCCTACCCCCTTCCTCAACTCCGAGCCACAGAAGCCTGGGAGGGAGGGAGCCTACTCTCGCTGCCGTGTCTTGCAGATGTGCCAAAATGGGGGTGGGTGGGAGGGGAGGGTGCCTGGCAGAGCAGCCCCCAGGGTGGCTCTCTCAAAGCAATACAGTTCCTCCTGCCTGGGGAACGGCAAGACAGCAGAGAGGGTTGGGTTGGGGACCTGGGTGTTCCCTGTGTACAGCTATGTATATTCAGGGGTGTTCTCTGTCTGGTACCCGCTGTGGGCGTCTCTGTGTGTGTGAACCTCCCCTTCCCCATGCCCTGCATGACCTGTGATGCTGCAGACACCACCATCCTGTGTGCAGGGGTGTGTGGGGGGCACTGAGGGGCATGTTGCATGTCCTGGTGCACCCTCCACCCTGTGACCCATGTACTCGGTTGTAGGAAGTAAAGAGAACTGAGCACAATTCACTGGATTCTAGTTGAATCTTTCTCTAAGCAATTTTCCCGTTCCTGCCCTTCTCCTTGCCCCGGATCCACCTGTGGTGCTAGCGTTGGGGTCGGGGGGTGTTTGATGCTGATGGGCAGCAATAAAGGGCAGATCTGCCCAGATGCCTGTATCCCCAGGGTGCTGAGGGCAGCAGGAAAAAGTGGGGACCTCGGTGCATTTGCCCCCCCCCCCACCCCGGGCTAAAGCACAATGCTCTCCCAGCAGATGGATGCACCCCACACCCTCCAGGCCCCTACTCATGTCCTCCCCCAACCGCTTTGAGCCCTCCCACCACGTCCTGGTTTTCTATGCTGTTTGGTGCAAGTACAACTGTCATAGTCATGGCTTTGGGATGGGTTCTGTTTATTAAAATCCTATTGCTCCTACTGGCCCTGTGTCCCGCCTCCATTCCTGTGGTTGGGGGGAAGGAAGGGCAACCTGGACGCCTTTCCACTGGCCCCCGTCAGCCATCAGAGACCAGGGGCCATAGCTGCTCCTCCAGCATGGCAATGGTGAGCATGAGGCTGCCCCCCAGCAGCAGGCCCAGCCCCTGCAGGAGCACATCGAGTGTAGGGAGGGGCTCAGGAGGACGAAGCAGAGCTGGTAGCTGAAAGAAAAGAAGAACGTCAGGATCCTGGCTTTGTCTCTGCCCCTGGGACGTGAGAAGGAGGGGTTAGAAAGTATCAGCAGCCCCCGCCCGAACTCTTCCAGGCCTTGTTTCTTAGACTCTGTGGGCCTGTGGCCTAGCACCCTTCCCGGTGGTCGTGGTGGAGGTGGAGGGACTGATGCTTCCTCTCCTCCACACCCACCTCCCCACTTCCCTTGGTTTCTCTGCGCTACCCCACACCTCTCACCATGTCCACGAGGGCCACATAGAGGAAGACCCCAGCAGTGACCCCAAATACCCAGGGAGTGAGGGGGACAGGGCCCAAACTGAGCCCCACCCCCAGGGCTGCACCCCCCAGTCCCAGGGCTCCAGACACCAGGCTCAGCAGCAGCAGCCGCCGAAAGGACAGCCCTGCCTGGAGCAGCATTGCAAAGTCACCTGTTGGGAAGAGAGGACAGGGTAGGAGGGAATAAGCTAGGGCTCATTCAGGGATAAGTGACCTGTGTCACCTGCCAGCCTCCAGGTTCCACTCCTTGTAGTTCTCTCCCTTCTGGAGTCTAACCCCCCCCCCCACACACACACACTTCGGCCATTCCTACCCAGTTCGTGGGGCAGCTCATGGCAGAAGACTGCTAGGGTGGTGCTAAGGCCACTGGAGAAGCCATCAGAGAAGGCAGCACCTGGGGTTGGCAGGATTGGAGGTTGTCAGTTAGGAGAAAGCTCTCCCCAAGGGCAGGGGCCTGCATTCCCTCTGTGGTCCTTTCGTCTCCCCCCATTCTGGTAGCCCTCTCCTAGCCCCAGCCAATAACTAGGAGCCCTGACGTCTCCTCTGACCTGCCTCCCTCCATCCCCTCTGCTCACACCTATGGCCAGCCCATCAGTGAGGTTGTGCAGACCATCTCCCAGGAGGACCATCCATGTGATATTAGTGCCACTACCACCCTGCTGCCCGTGACTGTGGCCTTGGTGCCCAGGAGGGGCTGGAGCTGGTGGGGGCTGACTGTCCTGCTCTCTGCGGCCCTGAGCCCCTGGCTCTGCAGGAAGAAGAATGAGAATAGCGTTGGTGGCTGCAAGTGAGAGCTGGGAGCCCGGAGCCTACTCTTCTCTAGTTACCTGGAGCTGCCTGTAAGGGCTGAAGGGCCAAGCCACTGCCATCTTCCGGGTCCAGGTTCAGTGTTCTGACATCCTTTCTCTTCTGCTTGCAGCATCTCTGAAATAGGAGGGTATCCCTCCTGGTGGAGGAGGCAGCAGAGCCAGGCTGAGAAGAGGCCAGGCTACCAGGTGGGAAAATGAACACCTGGTTCCACCTCTGGCATTTGGGGATGGTTTTTGGCCTCCCCACTCTTCCCAGGTTGGCACCTCCCTGTTTCTTGTTGACCTGAGCTCGGGAGAGGAGACTGTTTGGCCAGAAGTCCTGGGTCTATGCTGAGGAGCCCTTCCGGCTCCCTGTTATCTGTCAGGTCCTGCACACTCAGGCAGACATCAGAGAGCCAGGAGCACACTCGGCCCCTCACTTCCTGGCTCATGTAGCCAATTCTCGGCTAGGACTCAGGTCTCAGCAGAAGGAGGAGAAAAGGGTATCACTCACTGGTCTGAGCCCTCGGCGCCGCAAAAGCCCTAGTGTGTTCTCCAGCACGAAGAGCAGGAAGAGGCCTCCGAGCACGGACAGCCCTGGACCCAGGTCCTCCGCTGGTTGCCCGCTGGGTCCAGCATGCTGCCCTCCTTGTGCCTGCCAGAGAGGAGGTCAGGGCAGACGGCGGAGGGAGGCCCCTGCCCCGACAACAGCCCTCTCCTGCGTGGGAGGTGACAAGCCTTCACTCACAGGCTCCAGCAGAAGACCTCAGAGGGCTGGTGGCAGCAGGGTGGGGAGTGGAATGTGGGGGCTGACAGAAAGGGGGAGGGGATGTCCTAGGACTGGGAACACCTTGGATACGAGTGGGCAGGGGAACAAGGAAGGGGTGGCACGTACATGTGGCAGCAGGTGTAGCAGTGCATCCCCACAAAGAGTGCCCACGGCCAGGGCCCCCAGGAAGCCCAGCAGAGGCCGCAGTAGACGAGGTCCCAGGAGCCGCAGCAGCAGCAGGGAGAGGGGAGCTGGGAGGCTGAGCAGCAGGACAGCCAGGGCGCTATGAACCAGGGCTGGGAGAGTCGGGGCTGAAGTTAGGCCAGGGCTGAAGGGAGGGCCTCAGGGGCAAGGTGGGGCAGAGATCTCTTACAAGGGTAGGCAGGACCTCAATGAAGCTGCTTCCTTGGCTTGAGGCCCCCTCCCTACCAGGATTCAGGGTGCCCCACACCCACTCTCACCCACTGACCAGATAATAGGTCCCCTGTAGGGGTTGGGGCTGGGGCCTGGATGCAGACGCGGCTCTCGATCTGATAAAGCAGGGCTGGACACAGCAGAGCAAACTGATGGGGGGTCAGAGGAGCAGCAGGACTCAGGCCAAAGTTGACCAGCAGCTGGGAGCCATTCAGACACTAGGGGAGTTGGGGTGGGAGTCATGCATTGGGGAATCGCCAAGAACTGTGATTCAGATCTGTAATGTCTGCCCTTGCATTGCATGGCTTCCTGGGTCTCTCCCAGGGTCCCCTTTCCTCCCACTGGTGGGTGCATCAGAGACTGGGGACAGGTAGTATAATCAGTGTGTGTTAATTATTAGTTATATTCAATCCAACGCAAATATCCATTTCAATGCAAATTGGGTGCTAGTGAACATTGCTGCTATCTCCCTCCTTCTCAAGCCCCTGATGATTTCATTGATTTGGTGATGGAGTTGATTGGACAACTAGAGCGCTCCATTCTAGAATCTTAGAAGGAAAAAGAATCTGAAATGCCATCCAACCTTCCTCTCAACAGCCCTGTGACATCTTCATCCAGCCTTGGCTTGAATGCTTCCTGCGATGGGGTGCTCACCCTCAATGCGCCTGCTTCAGGTTTAGCTTTGGCTGCCCTTTGATGTACTTGGAACAGATTCTGTCCTTCTGGATGAAGACAGCTACCCACTCCCTGCAGGTCTCCTCTCCAGATAACCTCCCCCAAATCCTACCCTGGCCTGCTTCTCTGGATTCTCTGCTTTGCCAAGTGTGGCCCCTAAACTGGGTCTTGGAGCTCTGGGCGTGGACTTATCTGCTCTGAGCCCAGAGGGAACATATTTCAGTAGTGGAATAACATACCCTAAATCCACACCTGGATTTTTAAAACAGTAACTGTATTAAATTACTGGTCCTTCAAAGATTTCAGGCTGTCTAAATCCCATGACTCCTTCCCCCTCTCGAGAGATCATCAGACTCACATCCTCATTCAGATGGTCAGCCAGCGAATGGTCCAGCAGCAGAAGCCTATGAAAGAGGCCCAGGCCCGAGGGGGCTGGCCCATGGAGTGGTGGTGGGGCCTTTGGCTCCTCCGGGTCACCCCACCCTGAGGGACCCAGAGGCAGCCCTGCCCAGACATCCACACTCAGATCAGGGTCCTGTGGCCTGGAATGGATGGGATAGCAAGTCAGACTCCCTCATGTTCTCTTAGAAACGTCCCTTGAGAGGCTCCCAGGGAGCTTAGGGGAAAGGGGAGGACCAGCCACTGGCTAGAGTTCCTGGGACCCAGAAACCATGGAATGTCAGTCCTGGGAGGTTCTGAGAATTGTCAATTTATAGGAGGACCTAAGAATGGCAGGGAGGGGAGGCAGGTGAGAGAAAACGGGAGGAGGACAGCCAAAAATACTACAAACTGAGAGCCAAGTCGACCTGGAGACATTGAGCGTCGGGACTAAGAGCAAGGAATGGAAGGGCCCAGGGATTTGGAAGAAGAGAGAATTAGAAGCAATAGAGGCAAAAGGGGTCTTGAAGGGAGCCAAGGTGTCATGTTCTGAAAAATTTGTAATTCCAGGAATCTGATTTTAGGAAGCTAGAGCTAGGCAACTGGCAACTGAGCCAAGCCCTGAGAAGAGCTGGACATGTGGCATTTTGGGGTAGGGAAAGGGGTTAGTACCTGTGTGTGGAATTGTCTCCAGCTGGGGGTGCAGCCCGACCAGCTGGAGGCCCGTGGTGTCCCAGGCGAAGGCCCTGGACTCGGCCTAGCCCCAGGCTGTGCAGGAGCCGCGCCAGGCCCCCTGCAGTCAGCGTCCCGTTCTCCCCATACAGGCCAAACAGCTGGGCCAGGTAGTGGTTCTGCTCCTGCTCAGCAGCGCCTAGGTTGGGGGCTGAGCCCCCTACCCAGCCCAAGGCCACCCACACACACAGGCCACACAGAAGATGACTCATTGGGGGCCCCATTATTGGGGGGAACGGGTTAGAGACTCTGGCTTCTATTTCTCCTGGAACATTCTGAGGACTATGCCCTGGAAGAACAACAAGGAAGGGTCAGGGCTCCTGTTCTGCTGTCCAGCTCAGGGCCGGGGGGGACTCACTCCTCGTACCACCCCACCTTGAATCCAGCAGCAGCCCCCACCCTGGCCTCCTTCTTCCCTCCGTATTGCCTCCTCCCAGAGCAGCCTCTTGTTGGCCAGTTCCTAGAGCACCGTCCCTGACCCACAGTGCTCCCCTGACCTGATCCGGAGCTGACCATCTGTCCATCCCATCCCTCAAACCCCACCCCTCAACCTTGTCCCACCTCTCTATCTCCCCTCAATCCCCAGGGCCTCACCCCCACTAGCAGCGTGAGAGCTATCACCGCAGGTCCCCGTCAGGCCTTGCTGTGGACGCTAAGAGGTTCCTGAGTCAGGGAGGGGAGGCAGGCTTAGTCTCCAGGTGCCCAGGTGGAATGGAGGCCACGTCAGGCTGGATGGACACCCCGCCCCAGCCCACCTGCCTTGGGGCGGGGTCAGGGGTGGGGCGAGTGTGGGAAGGTTCACATCAAAGAGGAGTTAATGGTTCACTGATCTCTGGGGTGGGGGGTCAAAGGTCAATCTCGGCTGGGCCCCTGAGTAGGGAGGGGCCACCCTCTGCCCCTGGAACAGCCACATGGCTCAGGAGAACCTGGACCTGGCATTTTCACCCCCTGCCCCACCCCAGTTGGTACCATTCTAGCCTTTCCTTGCAAATACCCCCTCCCCACCTTCTTTACAGCTGGCGCTGGGCTTCAATCATCTCCAACCCCCATCCCCACATTCCCTGTGTAAGTTGGACCCAGGTGTCCCTAAGCTGGAGAGGAGGGTGAAGAGGCAGATAAGTGGCAACCCCAGATGCATGGGGAAGAAATTCTTCTTGGCAGTTCCTCACCCCAGAAGAGTACGAGCCAGAATCTGGGAATCGATGACCAAGAAAGGGGAAGCTCTGTGGGAAGAGCAGAGAAGAGTCTGGGCTCCCTCAGATGTCTGACCTGCATTAAGATCAGGGGAGAACAGGCTGATCAGGGCTATTGGTCCAGTTGGTCCAGGGGGTCGAGGTTGGCATTACCTGATAGCAGGAGACCAGGAAGGACGCCAGAGGAAGGGGGACACAGCCTTCTGGGTTCCAGCTGTGGGGGGGGGGGGGCAGGCAGGCAGGCAGGCGGGCAAGGGTCACCTGCAGGGAGGGGGCAGGGGAGGGACAATACCTTAAAGGGGCAGGCCTGCTTTGCCCAGGCCTCTTTACCTGTAACCCATCTCCCCTCCACCTCCCAGGGACACCCCACCTTCCCAAATGCCCAGCTGCCAATCTCTTCATTTTCCCACAAAAAGCAAAGGAGTCCAGTACAGAGTGGTAACATTTATTAGGAAGAGGGATTCAATTAGACTTCCACATCACGCACACAAGAAACAGACTGTAACTGTCGTTTCTAAAGAGGAAGTAGGGCAGGCAGAGGGCCTGAATCCCAGGGGACAGGCAGCTTCAGCTGGACAAGGGACAAGTATGGGCTCGGAGTAGATAAGGCCACTGCTCACCACCCCTCCAGTGAAGTTTAGTGGCTAAAATATGGCTACCTCCCCTGACACTCCCCGAAGCCAGCCTCCCAGGAGAAGGCTGTGTTGCTCTCTAGCAGACACTTGGGTTATGGTTGGTGGCAGGAAGGGAGGAAGAATGTCTTGCTATCTTTTGCTGCTCCTCCGGGTTTCTTTGCCGTTACTGACAGGGTTGCTCGAGGGGCCAGGAGGGCCAGCAGCCGTGTGGTTGGGCTGGCTTCGGGTAATTCGGGTGCTGGGGGGGTGGGAAGGAGTGTGAGGGGGGTGCGGACCACCACCAGGACCTGGTGGGGTGCTCAGTCCATTCCCATTCTGGCTCTCAGAGGCTAGATGTGGGAGAAAGGGAAGAAACACAGGAATTAGAGAACTAAGGTAGGAGAAGGGTCCAGCCCCAAGGCCACCCTCCGTGCCCCAGAGAGTAGCACAGTTTTCATCGCACAACTGCACAGTAATGCCAACGGGACCAAGTGCAAAGAATGTGGGTTGTATGAATGGAGCCCCAGAGAAGACGCAAACAATGATTTTGGAAGTTGCTACATGAATGCTAGGAAGATATTTTTCTCTTTTATTCATCTCTGCATCATTGGGAGTCAGACCTAGAGTTAGCTGTTACGTTCTAGGCTCAAGGACTTCTGACAAAATGCCCCTTTGCCAAAACTGATGGTGAAACTGGGGAAACATGAGAAGGGGAAGGGCCTGAAGTTTCTGTGTTAAAATGTAAGAAGCATGGATGTTAGCTCAGGGCCCATCTTCCTCAGCAAAAAGAGGAGGACTGGCAGCAGATGTTAGCTCAGGGCTGCTCTTCCTCAAAAAAAAAAAAAAAAAAAAAAGAAGGATCTTTAAAAGAAAAAAACAAATTGTGGTGTATATCACAATGATACATGTTCATTTTGGAAAATACAGATAAGAATAAGCAAAAAAATTATTACACATACTCTCACTCCTCAAAAATAAGAAGTAACATTTTTGTGTATATGTTAAATGTTTGACTGGAGCCAGGTGTGTGGGATGACTTCCTTGGGCTCCCGCAACTGTGCATGGCACTCTCATTGTGCTGACCAGTGTGATATAATCATCATCTGTCTGTTTCCTTCATAGACTACAAGCTCCTTGAGGCAGGTGCTGTTTTCTTTTTTCCTTGAGGAAGATTAGCCCTGAGGTAACTACTGCCAGTCCTCCTCTTTTTGCCAAGGAAAACTGGCCCTGAGCTAACATCCATGCCCATCTTCTACTTCATACGTGGGACGCCTACCACAGCATGGCTTTTGCCAAGTGGCGCCATGTCTGCACCCGGGATCCAAACTGGCGAACCCCGGGCCGCCAAGAAGCGGAATGTGCACACTTAACTGCTGCGCCACTGGGCCGGCCCCAGGTGCTGTTTTCTTTGTCAGCATTCCTCATCTAAAATGTTTGTTAAATGAAGGCAGAGGACTGTCTCTCACATACACAGGGCGCGCCATGAACCCTAAATGGGGGAGAAGTCATAGGCTAGTAGTTCTCGAACCATATCCTTGCTGAAGCCCATTGCTCCACCAGACTCAGATATCTGCAGCCAAAACTCAAGAATAATGCCCTTCCCTCAATTCACAGAAAAAGTCAGGAGAGGGTATAAAAAGTCAATGTTAAGTTTTTATGCCATACATGTTTTTTTGTTAAGCCTTTTGTACCTGTTAGCAGATGACAAAGTGAGTAAACATCTGGCAAATGAATATTAAGAGCAAACAGGCTTAAATGTACCTTATTTAAAATATTTTTATAAATTAGGGAGTCATGGAGACCGAAAATACATAATAATCATATTTTCAGTTGAAAACACGGATGCTAATTTTTGTGGTAGAATTAAATGTCGTTATTTCATGGTGTTCCCAAAAAACACCATGATCTCCAGTGGCTCCAACACAAACAATTCTGAAAACCATGGTAACTGGGGATGCTGAGGAAGGATGGAGGCAGCCTGAAGCCTAGTGTCACAGGGAGAAACCTAAGGCACAGATCAGAGGCAAGAGAGAGCCAAACACCCAGGGAGCAGAGGGTCAGCTGGAAGGAGGAAAGAGCAGTAAAAACCAGGTTCCTGAGGAGAAGCCAGGGGACGAAGGAGGTGGAGTTGGTGAGTGATTCTAATCAAAAGCTGATGATGTGGGGCCGGCCCGGTGGCGCAGTGGTTAAGTGTGCACCTTCCGCTTCTCGGTGGCCTGCGGTTCGCCAGTTCAGATCGCGGGTGCGGACACGGTACCACTTGGCAATAAGCCATGCTGTGATAGGCGTCCCACGTATAAAGTAGAGGAAGATGGGCACAGATGTTAGCTCAGGGCCAGTCCTCCTCAGCAAAATGAGGAGGATTGGCAGTAGTTAGCTCAGGGCTAATCTTCCTCAAAAAAAAAAAAAAAAGCTGATGATGTGCAGTACGGCCCCAATTCCTCAAGAGACCAAAAAGCAGGGGCTTTAAGTACATGAGATGGAAGAATCATAGTCCTGAGAAGCAGGACCTTTAGTTTCAAGAAGAGTGATGACCCCAAAAGGGAACCACTTAGGCCTCTAAAGCTGTGAGCTGTGGACTCCATGTTAAGTCCTACAAGTAACAGTATGTTAGAACTGTGTAATGAATCAAAATGTGCAAGGGGAAAAGGCAAGGTTCTGCCAGGGAAGCAGCAGAAAGAAAGAAGCGAGAATGAAGGGATGCACTCTTTGTGGAGAATTTGTTCTCATTTTTGCCTTTGAGTAGGAGGGGCAAAAGGGTACCAGAGCTCTTTCAATGATAGAAACAGGTCCCCAAATCTTTTTACCACAGGGACTTACAAAAGAACTGGGAGAAGAATTAGGTGGAAGGGGATATATTGAGAGAAGAGAGATGTGGAAAAGGGATGAGGGCAATGCATCTTTCCAGGCTGGAAAGAGTAGGGGAGCCAGGAGGACCAATGGATGGAAGGGAACAGGTTTACCTGGAGAAGTGGCAGGGGGTCCAGTGGTAGGCTGGGGAGCTGTGGGACTGCTGTCATTCTGCACCTGAAGGCACAAATTACATACTCAGACCTTGCTCCCTACCATGCTTCTTGGCCTGACCTGTCTTCTTTCCCCACATCATGGCCATGGGACTCACCGTCTTGTTGGGTGCCTGTTGGGCACTGTACTCTGGGTTTGGCTCACTGAAGTTAGGAACCTCAGAATAAACCATACAGAATCTGCAAGGGGAGAAAATGGCCAAAGCTTCAGACTCATCCTCTAGGCCACTGCTGGAGGCCTTAGAAAAGCCCAGATCCAGGATGGATGGGGACTGCACACCCTTACGCTGCCTCCCTCCAAACCTTAAACTTCCCCTCTTGGCCTGGTGCTTCTACATCCTAATCCCCAACATAGCACTTACTCTCCAATCTTCTGAAGATCGCCCCCACGGCCAGTGTACAGTGTCAGACAACCTTTGAACACTGAAGCGTACCTGTGGGGGCACAAAAAGTAGGATTCAGAGTACTCAGAAGAGTCACAGGGACTGTTAACCCCACCCCCCCTTGACTGTTACTGCTCTTGGATAGCCAGGAGTCACCAGCTGGCTTACCCTTTGGTGAGCCGGATAATGTCCCCAGGCTGAATCAGGTTGCCCACATCGTCCCAGACGGAGATATTGATGCTGCCCGTTTTGTCTGCCACTTTGCAGGTCCGAACCTCATGTCCGTCCTTTGTCTTGGTCACTCGGCCTAGAGGGAACAGATAAACGAGGGTGGGGGATGGTCAAATAAACCGGGGTGGGGATGGTAAGAGGGATGAGATCTAGATGTGGGCGGGGTGAGGGAAAAGATGTACAAACAGGGCAAAGCCGAATCCCTGGGGGAGACGCGGGTGGGGACAGCACCATGGAGAGGGCCCTGAGTGGAAAGAAGCCCGCGTGGCCCTGGAGGCTTGGATCTGGCAAGAGTTCCGTCTACCCTACACCTGGCTGCATCTCTCTGGGCCGGGGTCTCGGAGAGAGGCTCGGCGTGAGCAGCGTCTTGGGATGCCGCCCTGCCATCCCCGGAGCAAGTTAAGACCAGAGGCGGTGTTCTCCCCCTCCCGTTCCCAGCCCCGACAACCCGCGCAGGGGGCCCACCACCCCAGCATAGCCACCTGTCTCCAGCACAATGAAGATGAGGTTCAGATTCTTGAGCCCGGGCTTGATATCCTTCACGAAGGTCTCCGTCGTCATGCTGCCCGAGCCTCGGCACCCCACTAGAAGGGGGAAAGGGGGATGAAGGCTCAACCCTGGGAGCCTTCGCCCCCATGCTCCACTTCCCAAGGCCCACCTACCACACTAGGCTGGAGTCAGGCAGCTTCTAACTCTCCTAAAAGGTTAGACACGAACTTCGCGGGAGCCTCCAACTTCAAGATCAGAATTTGGGGGTCTCTGGATAGGCTGTTTGGGCGCTAGAAGGCCTTCTCCCGGGATGCTCTTTCAGTCTGAAGCCCCGAAGTGGGGGAGCCGAGGGGCACGCGGGTAGGGAACCTGGTGCAGTGCCAGGGAATGGAATCTCACTCGCCAAACCTTCCCGAACCCTCATCGGGACAACCCGGCACTCGGTCCATCCCCTCCCCCACCCGGCCCATCACCCACCCAACCAGCTGGCCGGACAGTGCACGCCGGTGAGCTGCCTGTAGGGGGAGCCACAGGTCCCACTGCCGCCGGATGCCGCCCGAAGGAACGCGGGAATGCGGACCTTCCCGGAAGTTTCCTCCGAACTGGCCTCCTCTGGCCAATCAGCAGCGCCCTGGAGCGTCCCACGCCCCGCCTCCGGCCCCCTCCAGCCAATCGGAACCCGAGATTCACGAGCCGCGAAGGGGGCGTATTTTAGGTATTAAAGGAGCCTCTGAGATGGTTGGCTCTGCAGGGAGAAAGATGCACCACCAGGGGACGCCGCGAGTCCCAATTTTCCTTTACTTGGCTGGACAATGAGCTTAGGCTGTAAAATTTTCTCTCCTAGACGTGACACAGTGGAAAAATGACCAAGGGTTTTGGAATACGGCGGACAAAAGGTTTGAAACCCGGCTCAGCACTTCACTTCTTTTCTCGACAATGCCTTACTATGTAATTCCATTTTGCAGACGAGAAAACGGGAGTTATATGAAAAGCAGTGCCCGGCAGTTTCCTCCTCTTCTCTCACTGCTCTAACTCTCATCTTTATTCCTGATTTGGGGTCCTCATCATTAATGCACTACCTAGTGGCATAAACACCAGTAAAAAGTGGCATGTATACCAGAGACAGACAAAAGGCAGACTCATCTGCTTTGGAAAAAAGGGAACCGGGGGCACAGAGAACAACGTTTGCATCAGGCCCTCTCACAGTTCGAAAGATAATGCAATTATCTCCCTAGATCTCAGTGTTCCCCTTCAGAGGTCTGAAAAGAGGCCCGAACCTTGGTTCCCTTTGGGACTTGTTAGTCCACAAAAAGTAGTCAGCTCTATAATATTGTGTATAAACCGATTACATGTACACAATGCACATGTGCATTACTATTTGATTAGCGAATATCCATAACAAATACTACTTAATATCAGATTAGCCTAAGAGGTCATGTAATTGTATTGCCTTGGCTTGCTTAATTAATCCCTGCCTTCTCCTAGAGCGCTTTAGACTCCACCTTGACTCCTCGGAGCGCAGGTTCTCTCCCGCCCACACCCGCAACCCCGGTTCTGTATCTTAAGGAAATCAAACCACAACCCAGGAAGAGGGACACTTTATCTTCCTTCTCTCCTCTTAGGTGTTTCAGAGCACTCTACTACTGTTCGAAGAGCCGATGTGGATATGGCAGGAGTGCAGCTAGGAGAGAAGCGAGCAACCCGTTGGGAACCCTAGATCAAAGCCTTGCGGCCAGACACTCCCCCATTCCCCAACCCGCGGTCGCCCTGTTGACTGCTGTATCCACTCCCATGACGATGAGTCATAGAGTCGCGAGCCTCCGGGATGCTGACCACGGCTCTGGAAAGGAAGAGGGGCCGGGCTGACGGCAAGTCACACTGCAGGCCAGCCTCCTCGCGACGATCTCGCACCACGCCGCATCAGCCTTAGGACATGAGACACGTGCGCCGCTCGGAAGCGAAGTCTCGCCCTCCAGGGTAGTCAAGCCTTCGGCTCGGCCTCTGACGTGCATACGGGGAAGAACATAGAGTTCTCCCTCCCAAATGGCTATACAGTCCTCGTTGGGACCATAAAGACTTCCGGCCTAGAGCGGAGGCCCGGCTAGCCCTCCTCCCTCCTCGTTGGCCGCTCGTGGCCTCTAGTCCAGGTCCGAGTTAAACAAAGAGGCGGGGTTTGGTGACGGCCTTCCGCCTGGTTGCGTAGCAGCGGTGGGCGGGGTAAACGATCCGCCTCACACGGCGACGAGTGGTCGGAACCTTCTTCCTTCTCCTTCCCCTTCCCCTTCCCCTCCCAAGAAAGGCTGGGACCCGGCACCGGGGCTATCCCGTGGCCGCTGCGGCCTCAGCTCCAGCCGGGCGGGGGTACGGAGAGGCCAGACCGCTTCCAGGGCGGTGCGTACTGCGCCTGCGCGGGCTCCCACCGAAAAGAGGGCGTGGGAGGGGAGGGGGCGATGTCCCAGGGGGATTGGGGTAGGGGTTCCAAATATTGGAGGTCAGGAGAAGGGATGGGAGTAAAGATGAAAAATTGAGGAAGGGAGAAGCAATAGGCAGGAGTCGGGAGGTGAGAGAGGGACGCTGGAGGGTGGGCTGTTGGAGAGGTCCATTGGAGTAGGGGATCCTTAAGAAGTATGGGAGGGGGCCCGGGCTGGCTGGAGGACAGGGAGGAGGGGACCTGGGGGAACGACGTGGTGTTTAAATAGGCAATGATTGATGGGCTGGGAGGGGAGGAAGGAAACCTTCTGGGGGCCAGCGTGGGCAGGGGCGGCGGAACCTGAACCCCCGCCCTCGAAGCGCCATAGCTTGGCTCCTCTCCCATGCCTTGTCTTTGGCAGCCTTGTCTTCCTCCTCCATTCCTTCCCCCCTCTCCCCCCCCCCCCCCCCCATGAAAGAATCTCACATTCCTTACATCCTTGCCCTGGGTTTGCAGCCAGGCCCTCTTCGCAGGCTTCACACACCGGAAAGCCTTCCCCAACCCGGGACTCAGCCGAAATTAAGTGGGGAGGAGGGAGCTGGAGAAGGAGCAGAAAGCTAAGAGGGGTGCCAATGTTTTGCCTGAGGGACTGACAGACATCTTCCCCGTTCAGAAACTGACTTCGTTCTACCCAATAGCAAATGTGGCTGTTAAGGAGATCCCTGAGCTACTGTTCTTGGGGACTGGGCTGTGATAGTGATAGTCTCATCTCTTCCTATACAGGTGGTTTTAGTGTCTGACAATAGAGCAAGAAGCTGATAGTATTGCTGGCTGATAGTTTTCCTCCAAGAAGAAATGGGGTAGACTAGTGGTAGGGAATCTGAGTGATGCAATAATGTTACTACCCTGTGTGTCCAGCCGACTTTGTGGTTGGGCCTAGTTCCCAGTAATTTAAAAGAAGGAACAAGCTTCTTTCAAGCATTTCCTTCCTGGCACTCAGGTCTCTAAATTTATTTTGCATTCTGTTACTACAAATACCTTACCTGAGAATAGCTGTATTCAGAATGCTTTCACATTTACTGTGTCGCTTGATTTTTCAGGACAACATATAAGGTAGATAAGGCAGGTATCATTTTCTCTACTTGACAGGTGAAGAAATGGAAAACTACAGAAGGGTGCCATGGCTTATTTAAAGTCATACCGTTGACAGAGCTGGGACTGGAACCCAAGTCTCCTGACTCCTGGTCCTTCTCTCAGTTGAAAAATCCTGTTTTGTTCTGGCCAAGGGAGCATTGAAGTAGGATTGGTTTTCTCAGCATGGGCAACTATTTGCTTTCTGAGTCTGGAACTTGTCTCTAGAAGAAGAATGAGCATAGCCAACAGCACAGCATTTCTTGAGGTACAGGTGCATATGCTAGGCTGTTGGGAAATAGGATATTGTCAAAATGGAAGAAGCATTATACTCTGCTCTGTGTTATGGACAGGAAAGATATCAACTTCCCCCTCACTCCCCAACCACAGGGAAAATGTGTCTGGCATTGCACCTTTATCTATCTGATTAGTTTAAAAATACCACCCTAAACATGTGGCTAACGAGCATAGTAAACTAATGAGCATGTGTACCAGACTCAGAAGATGAAATGGTCTCTGTTTTATGTATGAAAATCATCATCATCCTATTCCTTCCTAACATAGCCCTTAATCTATTGATAGACGTGTGATGGTGAGGAATGGAGTTTGAATAATCTGCTGTTCCCCTCTAGAATGTTGGATAGATCTCTCAGCACCCTTCGTCTGAAGCCTTGTCTCTCTCTACTTGGTTCCATCCTTTTAGTAATGAGTCTGGTCAGCCAAATCATACTGCTACCTCTAGTCTTCCTAGTCGCCCACCCAGCAATCATCACCTGATTCACTGCCTCTTCATTTTTTTAAAAAGCCTGATCTCGGGAATATTTCCTCACTTGATAAGTAGAATTGCACCTTTACCAACATTCTTGAGTTCTCCAGATGAAATAATATTTTCCAGTTGGACTCTACAAATCCTTTTAAATGAAATAATTTATGTGAAAGCATCGTACTGTGCATGTAGGTGTCATGCACCTCTGCATTGTATACATTTGTACAGATCTCTGCATTCCACAGATGTGGAATCATTGACATTACTTATAGTTGTGTGCACTGAATAAAAGAATCTTTTTCTATCTCAAACAATTCCTCTTCTCTGCCTTTCTTCTTGTCCCTTTCTCTCCCCCCCTCAGCTGTGTTTGAATCTCCTGGGCCATGTGTGTGATTCCTTAGCAGTGATCTTACTCCTTGGAGGGTAGTCCTGTATGCCTAGCCCTGAAACCTGTAGTCCTTAATGGACTACTCATCCTCCTCAACCGACCGCCCGATCCAAGTCTGTCCAGTCTCTCTGCCAAGTGGAGGTAGTTCCCCTGACTCACCTTTTTCTTCCTTGTTCCTATTAATAGAGTGCTCCTGATTGTGACATCACATCCATCCCCTTGGCGATGGAGCTTGTCACTAGGAAGGAAGACTCAGTCGGAGAATAGCCAACAAGATGGGTTACTGGGAGCGTCTCCTGAGTGGCACTGAGTGGAGGCATCAGGGGGTTGGAGCCTTGTGAACAGGGAACCTGCCCCCCAACACTTGGAAGGTAAAGAGCCTTGAATCAGAATCCCATTCCAGGCTTCAACCCTTTTCTCTGCTAATCTGGGTTCCTTCTGCTCTTGAAAACCTGATTCTTAAGACTCTTTTCTGCATAAAGCTTTCCGTGATTAACACTCATCAGTCTGTTCTTCTTTGCATATTTATGTCTTACATTAACTATTAACTTTTACTTGTTGGTAAATTGCTTAGTAAATTTTATGTCTTTTTATGTGTCTTATATCCTGTATACTCACTCATTGGGCTCAAGCCTACACCTTAGTTTGAGGACAAGGATCATGTTTTCTGTTTGTTTTACATGTCTCTCCTGGCAAGAGGGGTATGTATATAGGATGAAGATGAGGTTTGGGGTAACCACACAACAGTGCTTGGAGTTGCTGACCAAGCGGGAGGTCCTTGCTGGCCTTTGAGGCCTGGTTGTCTCACTTTAGGTGTTAGATGAGTTCTTGAAGAATTGTGTGCCCTCTGGATTCTTTTGTAAATTGAACCAGTTGAAATGTACTAAAGAAGCCTAACTTTAAAATTCCCTGTGGTAAATCCAGTATGGACCACAGCATTCCAGAATTAAACGGAAGCTTAGAGGCAGTGTAGCCCACCCTCTCATCTCACAAGTGAGGAAACTGAGTTCCTAAGAGGGAGAGTGACTTCGGTTCAGGTATTCTACTGCTTAAATAAAAAAGACCACTTCCACGGCTGGCCCTGTGGCCAAGTGGTTAAGTTCACGTGCTCTACTGTGGCAGCCCAGGGTTTCGCTGGTTCGGATCCTGGGCGCAGACTTGGCACCGCTCATCAGGCCACGCTGAGGCGGCATCCCACATGTCACAACTAGAAGGACCCATAACTAAAATATACAACTATGTACCAGGGGGATTTGGGGTGATAACGGCAGGAAAAAAAAAAAAAGACCACTTCCTTTCACTTAAAAAATCAAGTAAGTTGCCTAAAGAGAGCAAGGTCAGTTAGTGGAAAAGCCAAAGAACCTTTCATAACATCATTACCCCCTAGTTTACCTATTTTTGTTTTATGTGCTGAATCTTAGAATCCTGGAACTTGTGGGGCACCTTAGAACTTACGTAGTCCAGGATGCTTCATTTCATGTGGAGAAGGGAGCTGAGGCCCAGAGAGGTTAGGTAACTTGTCGAAGGTCACACATTTGGTGAGTAATAGAGCTAGAACTAGGACTCAGGTTTCTGGATTCTTGACTCAGTTTTCTTTTTTCCCAGACCTGTTCCTTCTCTGGGAGACAGGGAAATATGACGAAATGTTTTAGGGACACCTGTGAGACCTTTGACCAACTGATTTCTTCACTAGGTTGAAGTTCCCAGGAGTCACTTTCCCCTGGGAGGTTATGGGGCCCTTTCCCTGTGTGCCTGGTGGTTGTAGTACTGGGGCTGGAGTGTCCTCAGCCCTCTGTACCTCTGTGTGGTCAGGGCGTGGAGGGGAGGGAATTGGTGGAAGGGTGACTACAGGCACACATAGCTGGCTTTTACCCTTATGCTCTTGCCAAGAATTGAGACAGCATACCCAGCTACCCTAAAATTAAATGATGAGTTGGGGCGGCTTCTCTAATGTTTCTCTTCGAGTATGTGTGTGTGTGTGTATGCATGGATGTGTGTGTGAATGTGCATGATTCGCACATCTCTACATGGATCCAAGAAACCCTGAGTAAGTGAGGATAAATGTTCAGGCTCCTCAGGAACAATCTATTTTGAATTCCTGGCGCTCTCTTCGGGGAGGACCAGGGAAACAACAGCAGCAGTAAGTTAAAGGGGACAGGAAGGGGTCTGCTAAAGCGCTTGCATTTTTATAATGATGCTGCCCAGGAATGGAGGGAGAGACGCTGGTGTAGCAGTGAGGAAGTAAGGTGACGTAAGGACCTGGCGTGGTTCTGGCCTGCAGAGTGGGAATGCAGTTTTCAGTTTGGGTTCAGGATGTTCAAATCAGGAAGGCTGGCAGAACTCCTAAACCCTGAAGGGCCACTTCTCTGCTACTTTAGTTCAGCGCCCCAACCTGAGTGAAACCTTCCAAGCCCTTTTCCTCTACCACAGCTCAAGGAGAATATTCAGGAAACTGTGCTTCCAGTGGCTGTGGTCACTGGCTGTGACTCTTGAGGTGAGGTCCCTGTGGTTTCAGTTCTATTAAGGCTTCTGCCGCCAGGGCAGTGAGCAGCTGAGTTCTTGTGAGGCATCCCCCTTGGAATGACAACCTGCCCTTCTGACAGCCCCACAGCAGTGCTGAGTCCCAGAGAGTAGGACTAGTCGAGGAACCTGGCCTGTCGGCTTGACTGTCTTCTTAGGGGCAGGGCAAGGCAGAACAAGGAGCTTGCTTCCAAGGGTGTATATAACCATGGCAATATTTGTTTCCCAAAGATAACTAATAGAGAATACCCTAGTCAGATCAGAAATCTAAGTTTCCCCTTAACTCTTGAGGCTGCTCCCCTGAAGCGATGCAGTTGTAGAAGGGGATAAAGAGGAGACTCTAAGCAGATAAAAGGAGAGTTCGATTTGGAGATGCCCAGCATCTCTGCAGAGTTTTGCAAACCGTAACTTTATGGTGGGAACCTTGCAGCTCTTAACCCTGGCTGGTGGCTTCCCACCCCTCTGGCCATCTCTGCACTAACTGAGGCAAGTTCTCTGCTGTTTATTTTGGGAATGTGGGATCTCCTGAGACATTGATAAGCTTTCAGAATTTGTATTTCTCTTTAAGACAACATTGTTAGCATTGGTTTAAAATGAAAGTGCAGTGAGGCACAGTACAAACTCTAGGCCTGTGTCTGCACTACCCCATAGCAATAAGGGAGAAAAGGGCAATGCTATTTTAGTTTTCGCCTCTTGCTCTAAGGATAACTGATTTTTTAAAAATTTAAATCTTGCAGAAATATATAACCTAGATCAAAAGTTCAATCCCAGCATCCAGATTTTAAAAATGTGTATACTACATATGTTACTTTTTATTTTTTAAATTGTCCTTATAAAAATGGCACCATACTACACTATTTTGGCAACTTGCGTTTTTCAATTTGGGAGGCAGTTTTGCACAGTGGTAAAAGCACGGGCCCTGGAGCCCAGTCTGTCTGGGTTTGAATCTGGCTCCACCACCTGTTGGCTGTATGACTTTGGACAAGCTTTTTAACCATCGTGCATCTGTCACTCATCTGAAAATTTTGGATAATGACAGTCCCAACCTCATAGAGTCACTCATAGAGTTGTAATTAGATGAGTTAATATACGAGAAATGCGTAGAATAGTGCCTGGCATATAGTAATGCTCAATAAATATTGACTTTATTATTATTTAATTGTGTAAGTAAAACATGATCATTGTAGAAAAAGTAGGGAAAACCAATAAAGCAAAACTGTGAGTGAAATTAAAAGTACTAAAAGTCTACACCTAGAGATAGCTTCTGTAAGATATATCTTTCCAGATGTTTCCAGTATATGTACACACATAAATATAAATTTACTTTTTAAACAAAAATGGCACTAGAGCATATATATGTATAAATATATTCCTTTATTATATAAGTAATAAATATTTTTAAATAAATTATTATTAATAAGAAATAAATATATCTAAGTCATATTAATGCTATATGATATTCTATTTTATGGATGTAAGAAATTCTACTGGATATTTGTGGTATTTCTGATTTTTTTAATTATGAACAATGCTTAGATAAACAACCTAGTATATTGTTTTGACATCCTTGCGTAATTATTTCCTTAGGCTAAGATCCTGGAAGTAGGATTGCTAGGTAAAAGGGCATATACTTTTTTTAGTACATTTACTTTTTTTTTTGTGATTCAATTTCATCAACTTTTTTTTGCGAGTACATTTTTTCCAGACTTTGTTCTAGAATACATGTTAAATTGTATGTCATTGACATGTATAATATATGACACATTAAGTGAATATTTTAGCCATGTTTTTTGTTTTAACCTTAATGGCAATTTCCTATGCATCCTTCTGGAGCTCCACACATATGTAAGCGTATACACATACATATTGATTTTTGCATTCATGGTGGCATATTTTATATACACTATTCTATACCTTAGTTTCTTTCTCTTAATTTATCTTGCAAGTCTTTTCATACCTGGTGCATTTTAAAGGCAGCAGTGATTTTTTTTCCTCTCATTAATTTTATAGTTACTGTAGAGAACCCAAATTACAATTTGTTTATTTACTCGAGGTCGATATTGTAAAGTCAGCAGTTCAGTAGATGAATGAAGGATATTTGGGAATATTTTTGCTATTAGGTAGACGCTATCTCAGCTCCTCTTCTTAACTTTGTCTCCTGCCCCTCCCCCTTCCTCCCAGCCCTGTGTGTGTCTGGATGGCAAGAGTGGCACTAGCTGTTATCCAGAACAGCATTAACCAATGTCCATTGCGTTAATTGCAGTAGATAGGAAAGGTGGTAATAGTCCCATTGTATCTATATTGGTCAGTCCGCCTGTGGAGCTCTGGGTACCTGTTTTAGAGGGACTTAGGCATTCTAGAATGCCATGAGAGAAGTGGGTCTGGGCTAGATATTTCTCATCTGTGCTATTGCTACACCCTGTCTTGACCTTTCCCAGGAGTGTCTAAGCACAAGGTGACTGACTATTGGCTGCCCTGGAGAGGATTCCTGCCCTGGGAACTTAAATCAAATGGTCTCTTATGGTCCATTCTAACTCTAAAGGTAAAAGTATGACTATCTTAACCAGGTCAATGGGAAAAACTTCTGGGTATGATCAAATTCAGTAACTTTTTATTCCTGTCCTTCAAAAGTAAAAGCATTCCTGTATTTTTAATTGTTAAGTAATTTCTAAATTTTAAAAAATTTATTCTTTCCCTATTTGTGGAAGATGGTTTAAAGTTGAATTATGACCTTAAAAAAGTGTATACTCGGGCCAGCCCTGTGGCCGAGTGGTTAAGTTCTGGTGCTCCGCGTCAGTGGCCCAGGGTTTCGTCAGTTCGGATCCTGGGCATGGACATGGCAGTGCTCATTAGGCCATGCTGAGGCGGCATCCCACATAGCACAACCAGAGGCACTCACAACGAGAATGTGCAACTGTGTACTTGGGGGCTTTGGGGAGAAGAAGAAGGAAAAAAAAAACATTGGCAGCAAATGTTAGCTCAGCTGCCAATCTTCAAAAAAAAAAAAAAAACTATACTCACTAAAATTTTTGGTAATTAAAAATAGAAGCTGGGGCTGGCTGGTGCTGCAGGGGTTAAGTTTGCACATTCTGCTTTGGTGGCCCGGGGTTCACTGGTTCGAATCCTGGGTGCAGACCTACGCACCACTTGTTGGGCTATGCTGTGGCAGACGTCCCACATGTGAGGTGGAGGAAGATGGGCACGGATGTTAGCTCAGGGCCAGTCTTCCTCAGCACAAAAGAGGAGGATTGGCAGCAGATGTTAGCTCAAGGCTAATCTTCCCCCCCAAAAAAAGAAGAAAAACATTATCCTTAGTGCTACACCCAAATAAAACCACTGTTAACATTTTGATATTTCTTTCTGCTCTCTTTTTATGTATGGATTATTTATAAATATATGTTTTTAAACAGATCTTTGTTCAATTTTGTGTCCTACTCTTTTCACCTATTATTATATCATGTTATTGCATATTCCTCATAAACATCATTTAAAATATATTACTCCATCAAATGGGCTTACATTACCATAATCACTTAACTGTACCTCTACTGTTCATTTAAATGAATGTGTTTGTCAGATTTTTGAAAGTTTACTGCTATGATTTTTTTTTAAAGATTTTATTTTTCCTTCTTCTTCCCAAAGCCCCCCAGTACTTAGATGTATATTTTAGTTGTGGGTCCTTCTAGTTGTGGCACATGGGACGCTGCCTCAGCATGGCCTGATGAATGGTGATAGGTCCGTACCCAGGATTTGAACCAGTGAAACCCTGGGCCGCCCAAGCAGAGCGCGCGAACTTAACCACTCGGCCAGGAGGCCAGCCCCAGTATGATCTTTGAAAACCTATCTGGACCTGTCTGTATACAATTCTTCCTTCCTGCTTTGAAGGTGTGTCTCTTCCTGTTTAACACAATTCCAGATCTCCCGACCAGATTCTCTCCTGTCTTTATCTCTTCCTCGTCACTAGTGCTTTCCTCTCAGCACATAAACAAGCTCAAGCCTTTCTCATCGTAAGGAAAAACACCCCCACACAACTCACTCCCTCAACTTCCTGGCCTCCTCTGGCCTCTTCCTGTCCTCCTCCTCTCCCCTTCCCTTCCTTTGAAATCAAGCTTTTGACAGACTTATCTTCAGTCCTTGTCTCTCTCGTTCACTCTGAACCACTGCAGTCTGGCTTCCACTTCCAATGCTGCGCTAAAAGTGCTTTCCATAGTGCCACCCAAGTCCTTGGAACCACTCTCTACTGTGGTAGCCACAGTCCCACATCCTGGCGACTTTTGTTTTTTTTTATCTGACTTGTCTGTTTCCAGCTCTTGACACTTCTTTTCCTTCCTCTAAGCACTCCACTTCCTTTTCTTTTTATTGTGGTAAAACCCAACACAAAACTTACCATCTTAACCATTTTTGAGCGTACAATTCAGCATTTTTAAGAATACGACACTGTGTGAAACAGATCTCCAGAACTTTTTCATCTTGCAAAAGTGAAACTGCCCCCCGCCACCCTCCAACTTCCTTGACTTTTGTGAGCCTCTTCTCTCCAGAGTTTTCTCTTATCTCTGGCCAACGTTTCTCAATCCTTTTTTGCAGGTTCCTTTTTTTTTTTAATGTCATTGTTAAAGTATTCTCATGCACTGTTGGTGGTAGTGTAAATTGAAAAGGGCTTTCTAGAAGATGGTATGGTAGTATCTAGAAAAATAAATAGTAGGCACACCATTCAACCCAGCAAGTCCACCTCTAGGTATCTAGGAGAGAGATTTGTTCTTGAGCTCAAAAAAATCATATTACAAGGGTGTTAATTGCAGCAGGATTTGTTTTAGGGGATAAGTTGGCAACCGGGCAAACTTCAGTCATGAGGGCAATGACAAAATACACTGTAATCAAGGTTTAGCCTGGTGGACTGGAAATTCTTACCAGTATAATATAAACTACATGAGAGCTGGGACCTTGTCTGTATTGCTTGTGTGTGAATCTGTTATAGCAAAGGGCATCCCCATCACTTATCTCATAGGACTAGATTTTGTTAGGCTTACTGATGTATAAATGGTACTCAGTAAAAGTTTATTAAATAAATGTATGTAGGTTGTTTTACAGTAAGGTTTTTCACTAAACTTTTAAAAACCAGGTTTGGAGATTAAAGGAAAAAAACATGGCTCTTAATTTATCTTTCCTTCTCCAGATTTCTGAGGCTAATATGCTATTTCTTTGCTATTGTATGAGCCAGGATTCTTTTGGTGGTAAGGGACAGAAAGCCAACTCAAAGTAGCTTAAACACAAAGAGGATACTTGGGTGACTCACAGAAACCAGAGCTAGGAAGGCACCTGGGCCTAGGGAACGCACCAGCTACCCTGAAGCCTCAGGAGTCTTTCCAGCCCCTATCCTGGCCTTTCTTGCTGCATCTATTTCAGTCTTTTCTTTCCCTCTGTAGATTTCTGTCTTCCTCAGTCCACATGACAGCCAGAGAAGGACCAACTCACTTTCTTGGTGCCAAGCTCAAATTCTTAGGGTAGGATCCATTGGCCCCACTTGGATCTCATGCTCACCCTTGGCCCAAACAGCTGTAGTCTAGGGTAAGGTCTCATAGTTCTAGGGAGGCACCTCCCACTGGAGCCGAATGGATGAAAGAGAAAGGGAGTATAATTCCTAGAGTATGGCTACTGGGTGAACGATACCATGGTTATCCACTGCGGCTCTCAGTGGTCGAGGTACACAGAATGAAGACACTGTGGGGGCCAGCCTGTGGCTGAGTGGCTAAATTCACATGCTGCACTTGAGTGGCCCCAGGTTTTACCAGTTTGGATCCTGGGCGCAGACCTAGCACGCTCTTGTCAGGCCATGCTGAGGCGGTGTCCCACATAGCAGAGCCAGGGGGACCTACAGCTAGAATACACAACTATGTACTGGGGGGATTCAGGGAGAAGAAGGAAAAAAAAAAAGTAAGATTGGCAACAGATGTTAGGTCAGGTGCCAATCTTAAAGAAGACACTGTGGCTGCTCTTGCTCTCTTACCACCATTTCATTGTTCAGCTCAGTGAGTTGCAATGAGGAGAATCACAAGGGCCTTATTTCTGGGCTTTACGTTTCACTTTATTATGTCTTTAATGTCAACGTTCATGTACTTACCCTAATCCATCACTGTTTAAAGCTTGATTATTCAAGGGAATTACATCCTTTGCTTCTATTTTTTTCTGTTATGTTAGCCTAGGAACAGAAGGTCTAAGGTCTGAAGGGAGACGAATATATGATACATGCCCCACTCCCAGCCCCATTTTATAGGAGAGAGCCAGGCCAAGGTGGTTTACAGTGATGGTTTCAGAGGGATTGTTAGTAAGCCCAAGGCCCTCAACTATATGCTCTAGATGGAGTTTATAGAGAAGTGGTGGTGATGGAGGTCAGTGTAATTGTAGCAGTGACCCGGGCTATCATTGTTCCAATATGAAATGGGTAAAGAAAGATAAGTGGTTCCAGTGGGGCCTTGTGATTTCTTGTATCCATTAGCTTTGTGTATTAATCAGAGTTTTTATCAGTTGAAAGAAACAAAAACCCGGCTTAAACCAGCCTGAACATAATAGAGAATTTATTGGCTCACGTAACTGATTTGAAAGGTGATTGTGGCTTCAGGCATGGCTGAATCTGGAACCTCAAATGATCTCATCTGAATTCAGTCTCTCAGGTCTACTTTCTTCATTATTGGCTTCCTTCTGTAAGCAGGCTCTCCTTGTCAATGGCAGAGAGAGTCACCAGCCACTCTGGGTTGTACATCCTACCAGCTATGCAACTCCCGGGGAAAGAGCGCACCTTGAGAGCTCCAGTAGAAGTCCCAGACATCACTCTCACTGTCCTGGGCTGGGTCACATGCCCCATAGGATCCAGGATATGATTCCTAAGAGAAAACTGGTGCTATTAACAGAAAATGGGATGTTAGGGAGGCAAAAAGTAGATGTTCACTATACCCTGGTTGCTGGGAAGCTCCCAGTTAAAGCAACATTTAAACACACCAAACATTTTATTGATTTGTAAGGAACTGTGCTTGGTGCTACACTGTATGCAGAACAGGAGTTTCTGCTCTTAAGGAATTTGTGATCAAGTAGTAGAAATTAGAGGCATACATAAATAATGGTTACTATCATGTACTGAGTGCCTACTGTGTGCCAGCAGGCACTATGCTAAATGTTTTATATGCATTATCTCTTTGAGAACAACTCTGAAAGTCACTTCATTATTATTTATACCCATTTTATCTATTTAAAAAAATGTAGGCTTAGGAAGTTTGTGTTGCCTATCCAAGGTCACACAGCTAACGAGTAGTAGAACTGGGGATGAATCTAGGTGATTTTGACTTAATCCAGTGCTGTACTTTAGCTTGCACTTGACCTGTCAAGGCCTCTCTGCATCCCATTCCCTCCTCCCCTTTTAAATTGGACAGCCTGATTCTAAAGTCCCGAGAACTATCGGGTTGACTCAGCTTATCTTGTCTAGGACATCACAGTTGATGGCTGATCTGTGGATTGGCTGTCTGCGTATCAGGTGCCCATCCTTGGTCCAATTAGCCCAGTGGTCAGATATCTACAGGGGAGTTTCAGTCACTGTTCAGTGACCTCTTCTTTGGGTTTGACCCTTAGGATCCCAAAGAAGGAGCATGGCAGCCTCGCTGCTCTTTGAGTCCCTGCTCTCCTGAACCTCCTTTCTTCTTTATCCCCATCGCCACCACCAAAGTTCAGACTCCCACCATCTCTCTCCTGCCTAGATGTTCTTCCTGTCTCTAGTCTCACCCCTATTGACAGAGTGATTCTAAAAGGGAACTTCAATCACGTCATTCCTTTTAAGTCTCTTGGCTTCCCATGGCCTTCTGGATAAAGTCCAAACTCTGTACCTAAGACTTCTCAGGGCCTGGCCCTTGCTGGCCTCTCCAGCCTCGTGTCTTGACACTCCCTCCCTTGCACTCTTCAGGTCAGCCTTTTTCTGAACCACATAGTTCCCCGAACCCATCATATGCCCTCTTACTTCTGGCTTTTGAATGTGCTGTTTCATGTGCCTAGAACCCTAATACCCCACCCTGCCCCCTCCCCAGCACCTAGCTAACTTTTGCTTGTCCTGTTGGTGACACCTAGTCCTGGAAAATTTCTCAAAATCACCCTTTCCTTTCCACCTGGGTTGGGTATCCACATCTCTTGCCTTCATGAGGTCCTGTGCTTACTCTGTCAAAGCATTTATCACTTCCTATTCTAAATGTATGCTTATGTAATGTCTCCTCCCATTAGAATTAAGTTTCTTCAGTCAGCTTTTTTCCCCCAAATGACTGGCACATAGTAGGCTCTCAGTAAATAATTGTTGGACAAATGAGTGGATCTTGGCAATGAGTTCAAGTTGGCACATATTTGTAGGCTTCTTTTGAACTGGCCTCTTTTTCCTCTGTTGTTCCTTCCAGGACCTGGGTTTCAGTGATGAGACATGGGGTATGATGTAACCCGTTTCCAGGGGGATGTTGACGAAGACCTTATCTGTCCTATTTGCAGTGGAGTCTTGGAGGAGCCAGTCCAGGTGAGTCGGTCTGATGGCAGGTTTAGTGGTGCAATAGACAGCAGTGGAGCTCATAGAAAATATTCTTAGGTAATGGGACCAATGGGGAAGTCGCTGTGTTCTGCCCCCTCCCCCAAAAACACAGACACACAGACACACAAGAGGTTTGGTACAGAGGAACATTGGTGGCTACAAGAGGAGAGGGCCTTCCAGAGTCTGTCTAGAGTGGATGCCACAGAAGTCCAGTGCTGCTTATTTTCTTCTGAGGTTGCTCTAAGGTTCTTCTGCTATAAGATGGTCAGCTGTTTCCGCCTTCTGACAGTAGCTCGGGAACTTCCTTTCCTCTGTAGGGGCTCTGACTGGGTTCCATCTTCCTACCCATGATCGAACTTCTAGACTCTCCTGATAAGTTCTCTCTGCATTTGATGATGTAGTGTTTCGTGTGGTCAGCCAGTCTCCATGGTGGCCTCTTCTGCCTGCCTACTGTCTAACAAATAGAAAGGGGGAAACTGTATGTACTGACCTGTTTTCTTCCTGTGATTTATTGGAAAAACCAGTTTTTGATGCAGCCATGTACTCTGCATTTTGATATGAAAGCTGCCACCTTCAATAGGTCATTTCTCTACCAGCCTTGCCAGACCAGAGTCAGTTGTATTTTCCTAGGGCAAGTAAGAGGAGAAGCTCATGATTAACAGGCAAGTATAATGAATGAGATGAATTCTTAACAGTTGTATTCATGGGACATCATCCTACATGGTCCTTATGTCCTGTACTCCATAAATAGCCAGTTAATCCTCTGCCACTTCTGGCTAGCTAGAGATAATCCCATTTTTCAAAGCAGGACTAGTCAGTGAGGTCTCATGGCCCTTCCTCTACTCGCTGCTTATACACCTCCCAGGGACTCCACCTGATCCTTTGAGTTTATTCTTACTCTAGTTTTCAACCACCCAAAGGAGCACAGATGCCTGAGCTGAATGAAAACCAGACTGCATTCCCATGGCCTGGATTGATGTGCTGTCTAGGCCTTTGCAACCTACTGCCATAAGAAGCAGATCGGCTGGGTATGGAGCAAGCTATCCTGGTGGTGTCAAGAGGTCATAGGGCGTGTCAGTTCCCTCCCCACCCTAGCAGGGCCTTGTCTGTTTTCTGGCACTGTCATTTGAGGTGAGTCACGTGTGAAGTCAGACTAACTCAGAAGCTGCCACCCCCCACCTCCCCGCCAGGGTTTACCTTCTGAGGAGCAGGCCAGGCAGACCTGTGGTGCCAGGTTACCAGGCACATTTCCAAGGGTAGAAGGCCTCTGCTAGGGGTACTGATTTTCCTACATCATATTTATTTATTTTTTGAATAGGTAATAAATTCATATGGTTCAGAAATCAAAACAGTATAAAAAGGTATACAGTGAGAACTCACTTACTTGTCCTAGTCCACCTAATACTGCATAGATAACTATTAGTTTATTTGGTATCCTTCCAGTGTGTATGTGGGCAGATAAAAGCAAGTATGAATATATATAGACAGACAGATATTTGCCCACCTTTCTTATACAGAGGGTAGTACATTCTGTATATTTCTGCAGGGGTGGCAGGTTTAGATCAAGTGGTCACAAAAGAGGTGACAGTTGAGCTGAGATCTGAATGATAAGGGGCCATTCATGCTAAGATTTAGAGGAAGAGCCTTTCAGGCAAAGAGGAGCAGCAAAAGCAAAGGTCCTGAGGCAGGAATGAGCTGGGTGTGGACAAGGAACAGAAAGAAAGCCAAAATGGCCTGAGCACAGTGCTGGGAGCATGGTGTGAGGTGAGGAGAGGTCAGAGGCCCTGGGCCAGATCAAGCAGAATTTTACAGTTCCTGAGTAGGAGTTTGGATTATTTTTAGTATGATGGGAGGCCACTGGAAAGTTTTAAGCAGGGGAGTGATATGGTCTAGTTAGCACTTTTAAATAATCACTCTGGCTGCTGACTGTAGAATGGATTGTAAAGGGGCAAGGCAGATGTAGGGAGACCACTTAGAGACATATTTAACAATATAGGTGAGAGATGGTAGCTTGCACTGGGTCATTGTCGGAATAGGTGGGGAAAAGTGAACAAATTTTGGATTTTTTTGGAGACAGAGTCTGTAAGATTTTAAAAAGAATCAAATATGTCTTTGAGTGAAAAATAAAAATCTACTGACAGTTGGATTAGTGATATTGAGAATGACTTCTTTCCTTACAAAACCTTTCTATGTTTCAGTCTTTGGTGTCTGTGAGCATCTTGAAGGCAGAATCTGTTTATTTTGTTGGTTTTTTTTGAGGAAGATTAGTCCTGAGCTAACATCTGCTGCCAATCCTCCTCTTTTTGCTGAGGAAGCCTGGCCCTGAGCTAACATCCATGCCCATCTTCCTCTACTTTATATGTGGGACACCTGCCACAGCATGGCTTCCCAAGCGGTGCCACGTCCACACCCAGGAATGGAACCAGTGAACCCTGGGCCACCAAAGCAGAACGTGTGAACTTAACCACTGTGCCACCGGGCCAGCCCCAGAATCTGTCTTTTTTTATCTTAAGTACCTGGGAGAGTGTTTGAGACACAGCATTCTAGTCATTCATTCGTCACCATCTACTAAGCACCTGCTGTGTTTGTCCTGTCCTGGAGGCCAGGAACCCTCTCACTTTGAAGGATTACCTTTAGAGGTTACCTGAGTTAGCAAAGAAGTAGGCTGAAATATGATCTTTGTGAAACTGAAAAGAATGTGATTCTACAAAAAACCAGCCCTGTTTTGGAGGCTGGGCCTGGCCACTGGGCCTCAGGGCAATGCCTCAGGTCAGCCCTCATCAGTAAGAACTTGGGCCCACAGAGAGGACTCCTAACCTCTCCCCAGGAGTTCCAGGCTTTTGTTTTGTTTTGCTTTTTTTTTTTTTTTTGAGGAAGATTAGCCCTGAGCTAACATCTGCTGCCAATCCTCCTCTTTTTTGCTGAGGAAGACTGGCCCTGAGCTACATCTGTGCCCATCTTCCTCTACTTTATATATGGGATGCCTACCACAGCATGGCTTGCCAAGCGGTGCCATGTCCACACCTGGGATCCGAACCGGCGAACCCCGGGCCACCTGAGCGGAACGTGCGCACTTAACCACTGCGCCACCAGCCAGCCCCTGTTTTGCTTTCTTACACTGAACTTTTGCCAGTAAATCTCTGTCCCCACTCCTCTCTACTCATCCTTCAAGACCCATATCAAATTCTGTCCTCTCCATAAATACCTGCCCTGATTGACCTCGCCTGGAAAGATGTCACCCTCCTCTGGGATTCTTTGGCAGTTATTGTGTATGCAATCCAGTTGGTAATTAATAATTCACTGCTTTGTGTCATCTCTCCTATTGTCCTAGAATATTATTTGTATCTTATTGTTATATAACTTTTTACTTGTTTGTCTTATGTCACAATCCGTTTGGAATCTCGAGCACAGGACACATATCTGAAGCCTGTCTCCCACAGTGACTTGCCCACGGTACATCTGTACTTTGCCATGACCCCAGGGACATCTGGTCATGGAAGCCGCTCAAGAGCTTGATTGGTTTTGCGGCATTATCCAGTCCAGGCTCTCAGCACCTGCTAATTCTCTTGTGCCCCTTTTGTCCTACTCTCCCTTCTAGGCACCTCATTGCGAGCATGCTTTCTGCAACGCCTGCATCACCCAGTGGTTCTCTCAGCAGCAGACGTGTCCGGTGGACCGTAGTGTTGTGACGGTTGCACACCTGCGCCCAGTACCTCGGATCATGCGGAACATGTTGTCAAAGCTGCAGATTGCCTGCGATAACGCTGTGTTTGGCTGCAGTGCTGTTGTCCGGCTTGACAACCTCATGTCTCACCTCAGCGACTGTGAGCACAACCCAAAACGGCCTGTGACCTGTGAACAGGGCTGCGGGTGAGATTCCGGCCTTCCCATTTATACCCCGTCCCTGATCCCCTGCTCACTAGCTGAGGTCTCCTGGGCATGTAGGAAAGGAGTGTGCTTGGCCTCCCTGGCTCGCTGCCTCAAGACCTCACTTTTTCGTGCTGCTTTTCCAGCTCTGATCCTTTTGCTCTTGCTTTAGTAAAAGAAGGGGGACAGTGATTTGACAGTTTGTGTGATAACACTGAAAACTGGTTTACTTTATCTTTCCTCTCGGTCCAGGACACTTTCTCTTTGTCACATTAACCGCTCTAATTTCCAGCCTTCTCATATTTCCTCTTGCCCTATTTTTTTCTTTCTTTGGGATGTGAAAGATTTGACTAAATGCTAATAGCTGGAGCTGTGAATCTAGGGCCTCTTAGAAGGAGTGAGTGCACAGGCAGAACCTGCAGGAAAGGAGAGCCATGCTGAAAGAGGGAAAGAAGCCTCGAGAAAGTAGAGAGCAGAAGGGTGAGGGGGATGCTGGGGAGAAGGAAGTGAGGGGAACAAACAGGAGGAAGGCCTGAATGAATGTTAGAAATGTAGGGTAGGAGAAGGCCCTCTCAGCACTTTTCTGCCTTGGCCCACGTGTCCCACTGATGCTCCTGTTCTGCTCTTTCCCACCCTGGGTGGCAGGCTGGAGATGCCCAAAGATGAGCTGCCAAACCACAACTGCATCAAGCACCTGCGCTCAGTGGTACAGCAGCAGCAGACACGCATCGCAGAGCTAGAGAAGACATCAGCTGAACACAAGCACCAGCTGGCAGAGCAGGTGGGGCCCAGAGAACATGGGGAAAGAACATGGGTGAGAAGCACTGTGTGAGTGTGCAGATCTGTGCTGGTGCTTGTGAGCCTGGGTGAGTGGATGCTCTGCCTGTGGCTCAGTAGGAAATCAGATTGGAGCTCTCACTTCCTTTCATCCCAATGTCATCCATTCACCTAACGTTTCTCAAACACCTTCTCTCTGAAGAGGGGATACAGCTATGAATCAGACAGTCCTATCTCTGTCTTCATGAAGCTTACAGGCCGGTTGTTCCCCAGATCTCTCAATTGCCCTCATTCTCTGATAAACTTTTGTCTCATCTGCTGTCTCCTTTACCCATCATCCCTGGTTCTCCTTCCCTCCAACAGAAGCGAGACATCCAGCTGCTAAAGGCATACATGCGTGCGATCCGCAGTGTCAACCCCAACCTTCAGAACCTGGAGGAGACAATTGAATACAACGAGATCCTAGAGTGAGTGTCACTCAGGATGTGGAGTCACTCACTCCATTTCCTGGCACTGAGCCCTGAAAGGAGCACAAGCAGGGGAGTGGCAGGAGGAGGGTAATAAGGGCTGGGCTGGGGCCACCGCTTTTCAGATGTTGGGATGAAGGACAGGGGCAGAGAGGATAACCTTCAGCCCCAATATAGGATCTCTTATTCTTTTGGGTGAATGGAAGGGAAAGCTTACCCAAGGATGCAGTTTACCCAGAATTCAGTGAGTACCCACATGTACAAAGCCCTGTATCAAAGGCTGTGGAGTACTAGGAGAGCCAGAAAGAAACAGAAGATATCGTCCCTGTCTTCAGGTAGCTTATACTCCAGAGAAGAGAGAGAGTGCAAATCCAGGAAAGTGATCTAAAATGCAGCAAAAATAAGTGAAGTAGACAGGTGAAGTCTAAGGTCCCTTTCGGGTCTGGAGTCCTGTACAGTTCGCAGCTGATCTGTAGGTGTGACTCGATGCAGTTAGTGCAGCCGTGCTGCGTGGGACCAGTACAGAGAACGATTGCCTCTTCCAGTAAACATCGATTGAGCACTTACACACGTGCCGGGTACCATGTGTGCTAAGTAGGGAGATTTTTTAAGGAAAATAACAGAGACCCTAAACTCATGGAGTTTGATCTGGTGAGTAACATGTGGTGACTCAGATAGGACCAAGCAGGGAAAGATTTGGAATTTCTCACCCAACATTGGAAGGAAAGAAGGAAGAATAGGGTTAAGCTGAGTGCAGAGTGGGTGGTCGTTCCTATTAGGAGAAAAAAGTCAACGCAAGGAAAGGGGATGAGCTGGAATGATCACCTCCATCTCCCTCCACACAGGTGGGTGAACTCCCTGCAGCCAGCAAGAGTGACCCGCTGGGGAGGGATGATCTCGACCCCAGATGCTGTACTCCAGGCGGTAATCAAGCGCTCCCTGGTGGAGAGTGGCTGTCCTGCCTCTATCGTCAACGAGCTGATTGAAAATGCCCATGAGCGTAGCTGGCCCCAAGGTTTGGCCACACTAGAGACAAGACAGATGAACCGGCGCTACTATGAGAACTACGTGGCCAAGCGCATCCCTGGCAAGCAGGCTGTTGTTGTGATGGCCTGTGAGAACCAGCATATGGGCGATGACATGGTCCAGGAGCCGGGGCTTGTCATGATATTTGCGCACGGTGTGGAAGAGATTTAAGAGATCTCGACGGTCTATCAGGAAGAGGTGGAAATCAGAAAATCCCATCACTGCAGCAGCTGGGCCCTGAGTCCTCCCCACTCTCCTTAATACCATGGCTTACACTGGGGCCACACATCTCCCTGCTCTTCTGGCACAGAAGGGCCCCAGGGCACCTTGCTCAGCCTTTCAGGTGGGAAACCCAGATTCCCTCCTTTTGCCTAATTTCTTCCCTTAAGATGTGTGTAAATGTTCAGGCTGGTTGGGAAAGTCCCCCTTCTATATCTGTTTTCCTGCCTAGAGTCCCTGGTTCCAGATATTTTCAGAAAGCACAAAGATACTCATTTTCTCTAGAGGATCAGGGTGGAGTGAGGAATCTCTCAACTTTCCCCTCCTTCCAAACCAGGGAATCCGAGCAGGCAGGCCTGTTGACTCTCGACAGCAGTGAGAGGGCAGCCCTGGGGAGCAGACATCCTGAAGAAATGGTAAGGGTGGAACCCAAACCCTAGAAATAAATGAGGCCAGGAACTGGCCATCACTGATGGCCTTTAGGGGAGGACTGGACCTCTGTGCCAAGCAATACCCTGTTCAGCCCACCTTAAAGGTGTGCAGGTCTGCAGGTTGGGACGTTGAAAATTTCCAGATGAGCTCTTCTTTCCTACGCTTTCTCATAATTAGGGAATGACAGGGTTGGGGGTAGGGGGGTTAGTCTTGGGGTGAGTATGCTCAGCAGGAAGCAGCTCTGGCTTTTGCTGAAATTGGGTAGGCACTGCCTCTTGTGGCACAGGCCATAATAGTTCCATAGACCCCCCGCCCGCCCTGTGATTGTAACTAGTTATTTTGATAATTTCCTTTGGCCGTTGTTGTTTGTTACATTTCCCTCCCTTCCTCCCTCCCACTTTTTTTTTTTTTAAGAATGGCCCGGTTATAGCTGCCCCACTTTTCCAGCCCAGCCACACTGTTGGCAATTTAATTTATTTACTTTTTTTTAAGAAAGGAAAAAGAAAAAAAAAATTAACAAAACTTAAAGCTTTTCTTTTGCTGTTCCTATTGTGGGGATTCTGGATAGGGTGGGACAGGGATGGGGTCTGTTTTCTATTTTTCCTTTTCAGCACAACCTTTGGCTTTAACATAGGCAGGGCCAAGGGAGTTCTTGGCTGAACTTATGTCTGCCCCAACCCTGCATAAGCCCATCTGAGAGGAGAAGCTTCCTCTGTTCCAGCAGTGGATATGACAGTCCAGCATCAATGCCTGTGTCCTTTGGACAACTTTGCTCCTAGCCCTTCCAGGGTCTCATCGTAAAACTCTGTATTTCACGTATTAATTTTGAAGACATTTCTACCCCCTCCCCCAGTTTCCTTGGATATATATAGCCGGTTTTAAGCTTTCCCAGGCAAGATCGGATACAGGCTGTGCTCTGTCTCACTCATGCCCCCTAAGGGCTTCAGCTCCATTTCAGGGTACCCAGGGCATTCCCTGATCCCTTGGGTGACTGGCAGAGTAAGAGAAGGGGAAGGATAGTGGGTGTGATTATTTTAATATGCAGGTGGGAGTGGGGTTAAAGAGAGATGGCCATATAACAGCTTCTTTTTGGAGTTTTCTTCCAGGCCAGCTTGCTGTAGGTCTGTGTAGCTGGGTCACGGCTCCACTGGGATTGGGGTGGAGGGATACAGCTTGAAGGGAGTAGGGAACAGTCATTTGTTCCAGCTCCAGGACACTGTGCTCAGGAATTTGAAAACGCTGCTATACTTAGTGTGGTTACTGCATTTCTTCCACTCCCCTCTGCCCCTGCCTGCCTTACCAGGGCCCATACCCTCCTGTCGTCACCCTCACTTGGAGCCAGGAAGCTGTTAAGCTTCCCTACCCTTTGCACTAGTGTCTCTGCGGGTTGCGGGTTGTGTTATATGTGCTGTTCCGTGGTGTTGACTGCACTAATAAACCTTTTACTCAACTCTAAATTCTTAATTCAGCATCACTCCCCTTCTTGTGAAGGCTTCTCCTCTGCTTTGGCCTTTCTCTCACCTTAATTTCCCTTACTTCTGACTTTGTAACCTACCCTGATCTTAGAACTAACCTCTGTTTTAGGAGGATGTCTGTCTGGTAGTCGTGTGCACCTGTGCGCCCTCCTCTAACCTTCCCTCTCATCCCCTGTTCTGTAACAGCCAACACTTTGTCTCCAGTGACCTGAACTGTGTTCTTCCCAGGGTCTGCCTTTGCCCCCAGTTCCATGTCTTCCCTGGGGTTTGATGATACTTTATACAGAAGATATGCATGCACCTTTCTCCCTTGTCCCACGAGACCTTTGCTGTGGAATCTGGAATTCCATTGTAGCCAGGGACACCTCCACGCCAACCCCACCCCCACCCCCTGGTGTCCCCTAACCAAGAAAGTAAACATGAGAAAGGGAACCTGGGACGGCTGTACCTGTGATGGTTGTCAAACCTTGAGAACCCCTTTTGGAGGCATTTGCTGCCATCTTCTCCCTGTCTTGCAAAAAAGAAAATCATCTTTTCCCCCAGTACTGTAGTTTAAATTTGTTGAGCATTTTCCATGCACCTGATGTAAATCTAATAGTATCGTAGATACTCTAATGGGATTAAAAAGGGGGGAGGCATTGGGCATTCCTGTGCCCACCAAGTCTACTGCACTTACACACGAGTCTGATTATACAATGCTGACGACACATCGCCATGCACAGCACACAAGGCACTAGTCACTCTAGTGATACCACCCGTGCACTTTCCCTGAAGCTCCTTCAGAATTACTTTCAGAACTGCTGCTCATTCTTTTGAATGTCATTAATGGTGCCAAATCTTCCTTTTAGGTTAGACTTGGTTTTTGGAAACAATATTCATTAAGTTTCTATTCTGCAAGGAACTCACTGGAGGGGTCAGGGGGTTCATAAAGCAAAATGGCACCTACCTTCAAGAACTTACTCCCTAATGGAGATGAGTACATATATGAGAGAGATGATTGGTGTGGTAAGTGGGTCTACAAGCAAAATGTGAGCCACTGATTCTGATGGGTACCAGGAAAGACTTTTTCAGAAGTGGTGTTTGTTCTAGATCAGAGGTTGACAAACACAGTTTGCATCCTGCTGCCTGCTTTTGTAACAAAGTTTACTGGAACACAGCCATGCCCATTTGTTTGTGTATTGTCTACGCCGTTTTAGATTACAACAGCAGAGCTGAGTAGTTGCCCCAGAACTATGGCCCACAAAGCCTAAAATACTTGCTGTTTGGTCCTTCACAGTAAGTTCGCCAACCCTAGACCTTTACAGTTCAGGAGAATGGGCAGGGAAGTGTACAAAGGGTTGGTGGTTTTAATTTTTTACCTCAGTATATACATTTGCAAAATCACAACGTTTTTCTACATTGCCACAATAAATGCTTAAAATTAACAGTCTATCCTTAATCTAATATAAACCTGTATTCACATTCCCCCAATTGTCCCAAGAAAAGTACTTTTAGGGCTGAGTTTCCTCTAAGCCTGGATCCAAACCAGGAAGCACGCATTACACCAGGTAATGTGTCTTAACTCTTTAAATCTCTTACTTTGGATTCCTGGAACAGCCTTTCTTTGGTGACACTAATTCGTTGAAGAGTTGGGCCAGCTGTGCTGGAGAGAGGTCTTTTGGATTTGACTGACTCCTTCACAGTGTCCTTTAACTTGTTCCTCTAGCCCCTATTTTTACTAAACAGAATTAGATCTAGAGTCTGAGAGATTCAGTCATACAGTTCTGGAGATAGACGACATCACAGGAGAGAGGTTCTTTATGTTGTGTAACATCAGAGATAGGCCCAGTTGTCACACCATTAGCCTGATCTCTTCATTGTACGCTTGTAATGTTGAGAGATTTTTTTAAAGCTGGCTAGGTGATGAATACGTGCCCTGCGAGAAGGGGGCAGCTGGCAGAGCAGCTCCAGCTGGTTGCTGCTGTACAAGAACAGGGGCCCAATATTGCCAAGTCTTATTTTTCAAGAACCTTTTGTCATCCTAATGTTTATGCAAACATCACAACTTTTAAATGTTGGCTCAATTAAAAACTTCTTGTGGGCCAAAAAGAGGTCCACCAGTGTGCAGCCTGTGTTTTAGCTTGAGATCACAGCATAAATAAAAACAAGTGGAGGGCTGGCCCCGTGGCCGAGTGGTTAAGTTCGTGCGCTCCGCTGCAGGCGGCCCAGTGTTTTGTTGGTTCGAATCCTGGGCACAGACATGGCACTGCTCATCAAACCACGCTGAGGCAGCGTCCCACATGCCACAACTAGAAGGACCCACAACGAAGAATATACAACTATGTACCAGGGGGCTTTGGGGAGAAAAAGGAAAAAAATAAAATCTTTAAAAAAAATAAAAACAAGTGGAGGTGAAGGATATGTTGAAAAAGGAAGAGATTAGTGTAATCTGGAGCATAGACTATGTTGAAGGAAGTAATGGAAGCTAAGACTAGAAATAATTTGGGGCCACTTCTTAGAAGGCTTTGAATACATGGCAGGGAATTTGGACTTTAAGATAATAGGTAAGTTTTTGAGAAGAAGAGTGACTTCCAATTCATTATTCTGATGCCAATGGGAAGACTGAAAAATTGGTGACAATATTAGTAAGCTTTGCAGTAATTTATGCAAGAGAGGATTAGAGCTTGAAAATAGAGCAGGAAAGAGGGCAAGAGACACTGACAGGCCTTAGTAACTGACTAGATTCACTCAGCCAACATTTATACCTACCTGTCATGTGCCAGACATGGCGCTGGGTATTTGAAATACACAAATAATCGAGAAACAAGTCTTTAAAGGAATTTACAGCTGCTTAGGTGACATACCCTTGAACAAGTAATGGGAAATTTAGGACAGTGTGTTGCTAATAGATATGGACTAAGTACAATGGAACAACGAGGAGGAAAGAAGTCAAATACCTACCTGGTGGAATGCAAGAGGGAACGCTTCTCAGAAGAATCATTGGAGCTGAGTTCTGAACAGGATCAGATATTGGCAGTGAGGACAGTGGGGAAGAGCCAGATTGAGCATTTACTGTGAGTCAGGCACTATTCTAAATATTAACTATCTAGTCATCCCAACAACTTTATAAAAAGGCACTATTATCATCTTCATTTTCTATGTGGGGAAACAGACAAAGGACAAAATTCACACAGCTAATAATCAGAACTGGGATTTAAACCCAGAAAGTCATTCCAGAGCCTGAGCTCCTAACCGCTGTATGTAACAAGGGGCACGTAACCAAAGATGAGTCACGGATAGACCGGTTTCTAGTCTGTGACTAAAAAAGTAGTGTCATTAACCTGAACAGGGAGGGGAAGAGGATGAGCAGGTTTCAGGGGTGAAGTAATGAGTTCATTTGGAGAACACTGGGTTGGAAGTGCTTCCACATAGAAGTGTTTAGCCAGCAAGTGGAAATGTGGGTCTGGAGCTTAAAAGCAAGAAGTTAGGGTTAAAGATGTGGATATGGGAGTTACCAGCCCAAAGGTGATCAAGAAGTCCTAGGAATGAATACAAACAGTAAAGGAGAGAACGGGAAGAAGGCTAAGAATGGGGCTTTGGGGGAATTCCAGAAGTAATCTGGAACACAAATCTGGAAAATAGATGCATGATAAAGTTGGCTAATGCTTCAGCTTTTTTTTAAAAAGTAATTTTGAAGAAATGACTCATTTAAATATGGCCCATAAACTATCTGTGAAGGACTCTCAGAAATGTTTTGTGCAGTGACAGCATTCCTGAAACAAGTGCAGGTTGAGATCATTTCGGCCGAAGTCCTCTCATGATTTACTTTACTGGATGAAGTGCAGAGATCTGTGCCTCTTAACATTTGGGACACGTCAACAACTTGGAAGGGGATAACATATTCTTGTCTGTTAGATTCCCCCACATTAGCTTTTCAGTCACATGAAAGAAATTTTGATTAAGATCTAAGAATTGGTAGCTGAAAAGACCAGTATAGGGTGGCATTAGCTAGTCGTTGGTTATAAGATGAAGAAACAGAAGGACCCACATGAAAGAAGGAATTAGAGGCTGACACATGGACGCCCAACCCAATTAGATTGGGGGTATCTTACTGGGAAGAATTAAGGATAAAAAAAATGGGTGATTTAGGCCAGTGTGTTGATAATAGGAGCATGTGTTTGATCAGATGGGGCGTTGAAGTTCCTGGACGGGGGAATATGATGAAAGCAGTGTTTTAGAGATTTAAGTGTGGTGAAACTGGGGAACCTGTAAGGTCATTCTAACAAAAGCATCAATTAGATGATGTGATGGACGAAGCAATGATTGATGAATGATGGGCATGGGAGAAAAGAAAATGTCAGATAATTCTTAAGGTTGGAAACTAGAGGGAATTGAGAAAATAGTGTTAACAGAAATGGAAAAAGTTGAGAACGTGATCCTGGGAAAGGAAGAGAAGTTTTGCTTGTGTTTGAGGTGACAATCAGTCTGCTATGGAAACATATACATAGGTAGCTAGAGACACAGCACCACAGTTTGGCTGCAAGGCCATGCCTGGGACAGTGGCTTGGGATTTCTGTCTTGAGAGGAAGGAGAAGAATGAAGCTTTGGTAGAATTCTACAGAAGGAGGGAGAAAACAAATGAAATGGAGAAATAGTATTCTAAGAGAAAAAGAAGAGTATGGTGTCTCTAAACCACAATAAGAAATCAGTGGTTTCAAACATAGCAAAGCTTTCTACAACAAGGTGTTAAGATAGTATGTAGCTGGAGGCAGAGATACATTTTATTCAAAGAATAAAAGGAAGTAGAAAACAACGTGGTGATTTGGAAGTGTCAAGTGAAGGTGTAATTTTGTTTTTTCTGAATTAATTCAGGATTGATCCAGTGGAGTAGGGGAATTTGAGTGTGTTATGGAAGGCTATTTATGGAAGGTTCCTTGGGAGGTTGAAATGAGTAGGATTACAACCTTCAGTGGAGAAGGTAACTTCAAGGCCAAATACTGAACCAGAAACTAAAGAATGCCAGTGGATAGAATGTAATAAACATGTAAATGGGGAGAAAAAGAAGGGGCCTGATGCTGCAATGCAAAGAAAGATATAAGGATGGATAGGATTTTTGGGAATGGAAAGGGAGAGGGTGAAGGAATTCGGGAGTTGGGGTGGGCTGTAAAAATTTGAAATTATCTATTGCATATGAAGGTTCGAAGGCTTGGCCTCCCCCAAAAATTACAAGGGAAGCATTTGAGAGCGAAAGGTTGGATCTCCGAGTATCAAACATCCCCACCACCTTCTTTTCGGTCCAGGGCCTCCATTTTGTAAACCTTGGAGCTTTCTTCCCTTCACAACGTTATTGTCGGTTGCCCTCTGCTGGTCAATTTTGGTCTCGGCTCTCCAAATAGTCAAATCTGAGAGCATGCGCAAAAAGGAGTACTGAGCCTACTAGATTCTTTCATTCATTCCAATAGATTCGACCACATCTACGTGTAAGGCCTAGAAGAGGCGATACAAACAAATAAAATACACAGTCCTAACTCTCAAGAAGCTTATAGTCCAGTCTGAGTGGAGATTAAAACGTGTACACATAACTACTGTAGAAAATATCCATTTACTCAACAAAGATTTTTTTTTTTTTAATTGAGTGGCTTATATGTGCCAGGATTTATATTCTACAGGGGAAGAAAGACTTCACATAATAATATTAGGACGTAGGATGTGGCGGGCAACAGGTGGTTAGAGAAGACTTCCTAGGAGAGCTGACAAGTAAGTGGAGACTGAGTAGAGGCGAGGATGAGAAACATCATTTCAGGCAGAGAACAGCGTGAACAACGTCAAATACTGTACAAGGAACTGAAAGAGTGCCGGTGGGATGTAGATGGGATGTAGAGAGAGAAAGAAGAGTATGGAAGAGTAGTGAGAGAAGGGGACCAGGTCAGGAAACACAGAAAGCAGTCACGGAAGGGTTTAAGGTCTCTGGCTGCAGTGTGAATGCTTTCGTGCAGCGCCACATCTATTGACTCATGCGGTCCTCTCAGTTACCCCCACTTTCCAAATGAAGGCTCCAGCAAGTGGTGGGTCCAGCCTGCACTCACTCCTGAGAAAAGTGGACAGATCCGAGACATATTTAAGAGGTAGGATAAATATAACTTGTTTTCATTAATTTCTGCAGAGGTGTGTCAAAGGAAATGCCTTGCATGCAACCTAGTGGATGGTGGTGGTAGACTGATAGGTTCCAGGAGGAGTAATCAAGAGCATCAAAGAGCAGGGGTCAAAGGATGTGTGGGATGGAAAGTTTTAAGGGTTGGGGGTGAGGGTGATTTGGAAAGAACAGCATGAGCAATGGTATGAAGGTGGGAGACTCCAAAGGATAAACATGCAGAAAGCTGTATGAATTACCCTTGAAGCCCCTGCCCTTTAGGGCTCCTTCTTGGAGAAGATCCTGCTGTGCAAGAAACAAAATACAAAAAGAACATCCTCAACAAGTACTAGCCTAGATATTCCCCACAATCAGAAACTGGGGGATAGGAAGAATGGGGTGAGGCTAGAGGGCTAGAGCTTGGAGGAGGGTTAGAGTTTGGAGGAGGGATTAACTCCCCAGCTTTGTTCATACACAGAATTTAGCACAGTACTTGACACATAATGAGCACTCAATAAAAAGTGATAGTTATCTTCCCACACTCGAGCTCCAGCTAGATGTGCAGTGTTTATGTTTCAATAGGATCCTCCCCCCAGCCCTGAATACCTGAGGCGCACCTTCTCGACGAAATCCAAATGACAGCTTTAATTTTCTCTCCAGGCCCTGCTTCCTGGGTCTTCACTGTAATGACCTACAAGATGTGACTTCTGGTCATGAAGTACACAGGTGCCGTCTTTACGGCACCTCTATCGCCCGAAATCCAGGGGTGAGACCTTTCAGCTTCTATTTCCGAGACAGAAAGGGAACTGCACGAAAGACACGTGCGAAGACAAGGAGTTCCCTTTACACATCCTCGAAGAAAAAAAAAAAAAACACGGCCGTCACGAACAGGATTCGAACCTGTGCGGGGAAACCCCATTGGATTTCGAGTCCAACGCCTTAACCACTCGGCCACCGTGACTTCCAAAACCGCGCTCCGCCTCGCGCTTACACAGGGGTCCGCAGTGCGCCCGCGGCGGGAGCGCGGCGACGGGACCCGGCCGACTCCCACGCGCGCCCGGTGCCCTCCTCCCGCCCGCTCCTTACCTCCCCTCCACGCCGCTCGCAGGGGACGTCCAGTGGACTAGGGACCCGAGGAGGGAGGGTCTCCGCCCCGCGAAGACTCAGGGTCTCAAGGAGGGCAAAGCTATTTAGGAAGCGATGGCGAGGCCTGCAGAGGAAGCAGTCGAAGGGAAGGGGCTGGGTCCCCAGGGTCGCGGCTGGGCGACTCCTCGGGTGAAGGGGCGAGAGGGGCTGCGGGGACAGGGCGTTAGGGGTGAGGGAGACTCGGGAAGCGTTTACACGGGGAGCTCCCGGGGATGCGTGGAAGGCAGAACTTCTTGGGTAAAGGGGTGTGGGGGTCCTTGGGATTAGGGACTTCGCGGGGTCAGGCATCTGCAAGGTGAGGACCGCTCGGAGCTATGGGCTGGGGGCTCCTCGGGCGACCGGCGTCCTCTTGGAGTAGGATAGAGAAGCCCCCCACTCCCCGGGCTGAGAGGCAAAAACAGAGCGAAGAGGCTTTGCGTCGGGTCAAGAGCGACCTCAGAGAGTGTGCGCCCCCTCCAGGAAGCCGCCGCCTCCCTAAGGCTCCCGCCGCCGCCGCCGCCGCCCCCGGGGAGGCCGCCGGGGTCGGTCCCGCGCCCGGCGCTCCGCCGCCGCCACGCCCGGCCGGCCGGCAGGGGGCGCTGCGCGGGCCGGGGCCGGCCCAGGCGGCGGGAGGCGGCGGCCGCGGCGGCGGGAGGCGGCGGGAGGCGGGCGGAGGAGGAGGCGGAGGAGGCGGGAGCTGAGCTGAGCGGGGCGGGCGGCGGCGGCGGCCCGAGCCCGAGAAGATGGCGGTGCGGAAGAAGGACGGCGGCCCCAACGTGAAGTACTACGAGGCCGCGGACACCGTGACCCAGTTCGACAACGTGCGGCTCTGGCTCGGCAAGAACTACAAGAAGGTACGCGGGCAGGGCCGCGCGGGCCCGGGGGCGGGACAAAGGGCCGCGGCCCCGAAGCCCCCGGCTCCTGCCCACCTCGGCGGCCCGCGGCCCCTCCCCCGCGGCCTCCGGAGCGGCCCCGCGCCCCTCCCCCGCTCCCGCCGCCCCCCGCCGGCTCCGATCGCAGCCCCCACCCCGCCGCTGCGCCCTCTGCCCCTGATTTTCTCCCCTGCCCCCTCGGGTCCCGGTGCCAGCAGCCCACCCTCCCCGGAGCCCTGGCCTTCCGGGCTTTTCCGGGAGAGAGGCCGGGGGTGGCCGGGGTGCCGAATGGGCGTCCCCCTCCCCCTCCGAGCGTGCCCGCCGCCGTGCCCGCCGGAGCTCCCCGCGGAGCCAGGTACCAGCAGGGCTGAGGCCTCCCTGGTGCTTTGTGTATGTTCGGAGAGAGATGATGAAAGCCGGCGGGTAAACAGCCACAGAGCAGGCCCTTGGCTGCTCATCAGCCTGAAAGAGGCCCCCACCCTGGGATCACCTGTCTCTGCCGCCCGTCCCCCACGTCCATCCAAGGGGCAACGAAACCTCTTTGGGAGCCAGGGTACAAGAGTTGCTAGGCAGCAACTCCTTCTTAAACCAGTCCTCAGCCTCACAATGAAGTCACCCCGCCACCTGGCCTTGCATTGCCTTGGCTTTGGGGTTCCCAGGCTAGGACACGCTTTATATCTTTAGCCCCCACCGCATAACTGGAGATAACCAGGTAGTGAACAAAGCGTTCAAGACACCTTACCTGTCTTTTCTACCAAAGCTCTTCCTGGTGCTGTCTTTGTCTTTAGGCCTCGTTGAAAGGAACATTTATACACAGCGTTTTTCTCTGGAAAGGGTCTGCCTCTGTCCCTTCTACCACCCCCCAGTTAGGGGCTCTTTTTCTGGCTTTCCTTCAGCTCCCCAGTTCTTCCTGCTCAGCTTTGCAGCCTGTCAGGAGTGTGATGGGTGTTTGAGGAGAACGCCCCTCTGATCCTGGTTATGAGCCTAGCCCTGTTCTCGGAGGTCTCTCTGGGTGTCAGGATCCTGACAAACAGCTGCTGGGTCTGTGCCTTGTCTGTATCCCAGCGTGAGGCTCTGGTTCCCAGGCTTCTACCTTTGACATTTTGGAAAGGAGATCTGTCTAGGGGCTTAGTCTCTGGCCCTGGGGGGATTGACAGCCTGTGACCTGGTTCAGCTTTCAAGCTCCTAGCTCTTTGTCATGTACCTTTTCCTTCAAGGATCTCTTTCCACCTCCCGCTGAGAGGAGCACTCTTCTCTGTGATTAGGGTTGAGGAAACAGGGTCAAAAGGTAAAGAGAAAGTTAGCCTCCTGACTCAGTTTTAAATTAGAACAGAAGGCTGGGATGCTGGGTAGCATAATATGGAAATGTCTAAGAAGCCCAGGGTTACTTGTCTCAGATATAGTTTCCTCTGAAAGGATAGATGTTGTCTTGCTCTTGGCCACAAGGCTGGGTAGTAGCTGGTCCTTCCTTGGGTGAGGGGGGTGCCCGGGAAGACACCTGTGCCGGGTCCTAGCTGAAGCAGAATGCACAAGCTCACTCTCAGTCTGTTTGCCCTACTCACTTCCTTGTACCTTTCTTACTAGGCTACATTACAGGAGAATCTTGACCTTCCACAAAGTTACCTCAAGAAATACACTATTGTCTCACTTAGAGCCTTGAAACTGTTGCTTCCATTGCCTGAACTCCATGAACCTTCACAATTTCATAACCCTCAGTGCTGTTGGCTAGAGAGATCAGGGTCCTGCACCTCCCGTTTCAGGAAGCAGTCCCAACGCTGACCCGTTAGGCTGGGGGCAGCAGAATTTCAACTTCCTGGTGAGGGGCATTTGGGGCCTCCCTTCTGCCATTTTCCTTTAGAGACTAGATATGTGGAAGAAGAAGACACTATTTTCTCTGCCCCAGATGTTCCCAGAGCTCCCGAGGAAGGAATAAGGGAAATGGTGGACAATTTATCTAGGGTCTGTGTTTCTCTCCTTCCTCTGTCTCCCAGTATATACAAGCTGAACCACCCACCAATAAGTCCTTGTCTAGCCTGGTTGTACAGTTGCTACAGTTTCAGGAGGAAGTTTTTGGCAAACATGTCAGCAATGCACCGCTCACTAAACTGCCGGTGAGTACAAAAGCAAGGGGGCCAATCCACCCAAGTGGAGAGGGAGGGGCTTTTGTAAATTTCATAGTTTTTGAGATTTGGCTCATTTCCTACCATCCCTATCCCTGGCGGGACATTACTGGCTTGGCCTATTCCCCAGTTTACCATCCCCGTTGTCTTAGTAATACTTTGTGCAACAGGTTATCTCAGAGAGTCTGAGCTCTGTACGTGAAAGGCTCATGGCGTGCTTAAAAGGGTATGCGATTTGGATTTGCACAGGCCTGTATTCAAATCCTGGCTCTGCCACTTGATGTCTCTGTGATCTTGGGCAAGCCATTTAAACCTTTTGAGTCTTGGTTCGTTCATCTCCAGTTGGGATTAATATACCTACCTTGTAGGTTTCTGTACTGGTTAATGAGGTAACCCAGTAGAGTGCTTGGCGCAAGGTGGGGCTTTGTGAGTATTGGTTTCTTTCTCTCCTCTCTTCCAGGCCACATGGTACAATGGCACAGGGGTTAAAGAATTCTAGCTTTGAGAGGGAGATCAGTTCAGCATGGGATTTTGTGAAAGGATTGTTAAGTAATAAGAGAATTTAGGGTGTAACTCTCACATACTTCTTCCCTGTCTCAATTTTGTAGATCAAATGTTTCCTAGATTTCAAAGCAGGAGGGTCCCTGTGCCACATACTTGCAGCTGCCTACAAATTCAAGAGTGACCAGGGATGGTGAGATGCCTACTCTCTATGCCTCTTACATTTAGTTTAGAGGAAATCCCCCCTTTATGATTCCCTGGGGTCTTTCTGGAGTGGGAGCACATAGGTAGACATTCTTGCGAGTCTCTTACTTCGCTAGGTCAGTAGGCCTGACTTGCTAGGTCAGAAAAATGGCTGGGACTCTGAGCCAAAATAGTCTCCAAGAGTGAGTGAGTATGTGTGCGTGCATCCGTGTGTGTAGTCTAGAGGAAACAGGATTTGTCAGTTGGCATCTCAAACTTTTATTTGTCCTTTTGGACTAAGTACAAAGTGGTTCATGGAGTTGAGATTAGTGAGCCCCAGATCCCAGGTGATTTTGGCAATCGCTGAGAGCAAGATTGCCTCCTAATTTCCCGTATTAAAAAGTCACATACCATAACCTCATCCCCAGACCTGAGCTAAACCACTCACTAGATTATTGCCTCTTCACAAGGCGGCGTTACGATTTCCAGAACCCATCGCGCATGGACCGCAATGTGGAAATGTTCATGACCATTGAGAAGTCCTTGGTGCAGGTAATAGTCAAGAACCTCCCCCATCCATCTCCCTTCCCTCAGTGAGAATCCAAAGCACACCTTCCCCATAATCTCATCCTATCTGTTTCTTCTCCCCACAGAATAACTGCCTGTCGCGACCTAACATTTTCCTTTGCCCAGAAATTGAACCCAAACTGCTAGGGAAATTAAAGGACATTATCAAGAGACACCAGGTGAGTGGATGGGTCAGGAGAGGTTTCAGAAACTCCATGACTCTTTTCCTGCTCTTTCCCATATAAGAAGCACCCTGAAATGCCATGTTTTCGACTGCAGAGGTGGCTCTGCCTACTTCGAAAAAGACTGGAGTTAAAGCCTCGAGCCTCTCTTTCTCTGTTTCCCAGTCGTGACAGGTTTAGATCACTGTCCTTGGAGACTGCACTGGCCTGGGGGCAAGAAGCATCTGCTTCCACTGAACTAGAGATTGTCTGATTTCAGAGAAATGAAATCTTTGCTCTTTGGAAACTGTAATAACAAGCAGATGTCATTGCTAGGGACTTGCAGTCCACTTTACGTTTCCCATGTAGATTATCTATTCAGAGGATTATCTGCAGCAATTTTTAATTCTTTGATTTGGCAGTTTTTAATTCTTTTCTCCGTTGTTAGTACAATCCCAGCTATTTCCCTCTGCCACTCAGATGATGTGTACTTAGAGAATGCAAACTAACTTTAATGCCATTCCAAACAAAATATGATTAGGAAGGCAGATCTGTGATTAAATCTTCTTTTGGGGGCCGGCCCGGTGGCACAGCAGTTAAGTGTACACGTTCCGCTTCTTGGCGGCCCAGGGTTTGCCGGTTCGGATCCCGGGTGTGGACATGGCACTGCTTGGCACACCATGCTGTGGTGGGCATCCCACATAGAAAGTGGAGGAAGATGGGCACGGATGTTAGCTCAGGGCCAGTCTTCCTCAGCAAAAAGAGGAGGTTTGGCAGCAGATGTTAGCTCAGGGCTAATCTTCCTCAAAAAAAAAAAAAATCTTATTTTGGTTTATTTACATGCGTGAGTAATTCAGAGGGGACCATATATACCTGCTTCTCCTTATGCCATCCAGGGAACCGTCACTGAGGACAAGAACAATGCCTCCCATGTTGTGTATCCTGTCCCAGGGAACCTGGAAGAAGGTGAGACCTGGGTTGTCCTG